CCACATCAGTGCCACACTGGGAAGTATTGTAATTTTCCTTGCCTCGCCTCTCATTTCAGACCGCCTCCAGATATGTCTGCATACCTCTTGAATCTCATTAAAATATTCTCTTAATTTCCCTCATGCATATTATCCATAAAATACTCTGAGGGATTTTCACAAGTTCAAGGATACAGCACCATGGGGACAAAGCACTTGCAAAGTTGCATAGTGAATCTTGTAAGGTCTTTGTGTTGAAATGCACAAACCCACCAGAGAAGACTTCCTCTCCGCCTCACTGGTAACTCCAATTATCGTGGCCATTACTGAAGTGGATCATTGAAGTCCTCTACTTACTGAAATGGAAAAATACTCACACATAGCACGGCTGTTTTGTAGGACACAGTCATCGCTCGGCCTGTTTTCTTCAATGATTCATTGTTATTTGGTCTGATTCTTTTTTAGAGCAAACTTAATAACAGATGCAGAACCAGCAAGCCAACCATTAAATGACTTCCCTCCCAACAGAGGTGATGATTATTTAACACAGATTCAACACAGATCAGCAGGCTCATAGTCAGAACTTAAATCAAAACACAGCAGTCGCAAACAATCACCTACTTTCACACCTTGACATTTTTAACCCTTGTGTTATGTTCACATTTCGCACCCTTTGGTAAAGTTCGGGTCAAATTGACCCGGGACATATTTCAGGGTTTAAAAAAAATACAGAACTAAATTCAACATGCACAATTCCTTATATATATTGTCTTTAACTCATTCCCCAACAATATAAATGAAATATATGATTATTTTTGGAAAATACTCTTTGCTAGATCAAATTTAACAATGGAAGTGTCCATAGTTTTTTGTGATAAAAATGTAATTTATGTTAAAAAAAAAATACACAGGTTTACATTTTGCTCATGCTTTTCTAGGACAAATGTAAATGAAACATTTTTTCATTAATGTTTATCAAATTCATCTTCCAATTCGCTGTCAAATTCTGAGTTTACCTCCACATTATCCTCATCTTCAGAAATGTCTTCCTATTCCACTTCACCGGGTTCTTCTAATGCATTCCACTCACTCTCATCCATTATTAGCTCCAAGGCTCTCTGAGCAGAATATCTTTTGGCTATTTTGCTGGTAGATAATTGTAGTTCTGCACTATACACTGTAATGTGAGATTATGTCTCTGTTTAGTCCCTCCTCCGGCGTGCAGGTGCGAGGGGGACAGTGCGAGAAAATGTAAAATGTTCATACATTTCTGGAAGATCTAAAATGTTTATAATGTTCTAGGATAGTTTTGTGTACACACTACAAAGGGTAAAGATCAAGGGAAAACAGGATCAAACAGCTTCTCTATGCATACAATTGTGTGTGTGTGTGTGTGTGTGTGTGTGTGTGTGTGTGTGTGTGTGTGTGTGTGTGTGTGTGTGTGTGGGTGTGTGTGTGTGCGCGTGTGTGTGCGTGTGTGTGCGTGTGTGTGTGTGTGTGTGTGTGTGTGTGTGTGTGTGTGTGTGTGTGTGTGTGTGTGTTTCTGTGTCTGTCTGTCCTGGTATTGTATACCGGAACCTCTTATGGAGGACATAAATGTGGGTGGGCATTTTTTCATAAGTGGAAAAAAACAAAACAATTCCACATGTCCTTCACAATAAATAAGCCCCGGCCATTGAGTTTCAGGTTGAAAGGAAATATCCTTATATTTTTTTGTATTCATTGAAAATGGAAATCGGGTCAATTTAACCCGAACACCACACAAGGGATGAGCCAGACATTCAGAATAACATGCAATGATTATGAACAATATCAACGTGGTGTATGTGTTATGTTGAAGTTTATTCAGATGGTAAGTCACAATATATTTTCCTTCCATCTGACTGGGTTTGTTTTTCTACTTGTTCTTTGTCACTTTCTCCATGAGAGGCAATCATATTTTGCAATTAAACTCTTTACATCTTATCACAGTATCTGCCGCTCGCTCTAAAACTAATTGCGTGCTAATAAGTTGGGTGTATTTTCAGCAGCTAAATGTGATGTGTAATTGAGAAGCAGCCAGCTCCAGGATAAGAGGTTACATGACAACAAAGATGGGAGAACACAGAACCTGTCAAGGCATCTCAGAGATACAGTATGTTCCCAACATGGACTGGAGATACGTCTTAATACTCAGAGTCTGGAGGTTTGGCCAAAGGTGCAAAATAAATCAAATTATTGAAGTGATTACTGCTGGGGGACAAGTTCATGAGTCAGATCTGTTTACATCAGGGGAAGATGCATTTCCTCTCAGCCTGCTGTGTAATTACATTATGACTTCTCTATATTGAGTGGGAGCAGCCTTTACTGGCTGCTTAACCGTGTTAACACACAGGGGGCAAAAACATGGCACAAATCCACTAAATACAACATGGTAAGCTAATATGGAGCACCTGTGTTTCCGTAGATTATGTGTTGTTGTTGTTGGTTGCTGTACAACCATTATTCATGTTAAACCCAGGCATATATTTTATAGTTTGATTTGTGCAATTCTTTTGATTAGTATGTGGATTATAACTGCTTTTCATATGTTTTCAAAACATATTCAAAAGTAATAGTATGAATCACTGTCAAATTGGTTAAGGATCATTATTTTTTACGCTTTCATATGTTGGCCAATGACTGTGTTTATATGATACCATTCACTCAGAGCAGTTCTTAATTTGACCCTGACAATGTGTCTTAAATAAAGGCAACATTTAAAGGCAAACATTGAGAGGTTAATCAATCAGTTTCAGTGGCTGAGTGAAAAGAAACAAATAAGGTCATTTACATTGCTATTTAGTGTTAGGTCAAGTTACAGTATGAACTCATAACTAAAGAGTATGTGAGAAAACATGACATGTTATTTAGTCTCTTAACCCTCAAAAACAAAAATCCATGGTCTTTCAAAAATATAAGATATACTGAAACTTGTTGATAATTTCCCGTTAATAAATGGCCTCTCTGAGTGGAAGTTTTAGTCAACGAAGTGATCAAAAAGTCAGAAATGAGCAAAGCAAAGACTTTTGTATCAAGTAAAGTCCTCGTCAATATTTGCAATAATCTTCTTTTTACTCTTAAATAACTGGAACAGTCTGGCTGTCATGCGGTGTGGTAGAATTAAAGAAACTCTGTTGTCAGTGATTTCTACATTAATGCGCCACATTGTGGTACACATGCTTGAAAGCTGTCTTAGTGGGATTCACCACCATCCCCTAATGGAGGCACAAGTTGAGCCACTAAGAGGTGTGACCCACATCTCCAGTAAATCCCTGGAGCCAGGAATGCTGCATTCAAGAGCATTCAGTATTATCGTGCCACTAACTAGAATAAACACAGGAATAAAACGACTTTACAGGAAAATGAACACCAGTACCCTTGATAAACAGACTGCACCGACTATATTGATGCTGAATGGATCATCCCTATGAAATAAAGTAAACTCAATTGTTCTTCAGGTTCAGGCAAATCCACTGAGATGCCATACTAGTGACAGATTGATTGAGAGAAGAGGTATTTCTCCTAATATCTCTCTGAAAGATGTCACGATGAGCAACAGAAGCGCCTCTTGTTTGTTGATTATCCCACTTTTAGTAATTTGCTGTTGGAAAAATCAGCACCAAATCAGGGAAATAACAGCTCCCTCTTTTTCTAAGGGTTTCTGCTTTTATAGGCTCATATACTATAGGTTCAAAAGGACCCTTGAGGAATCTCTGTGAGAAGAGGCTCTTCATCCAGCAATAAAAGTGCTTTCTCTGTTATTTGGTCCTTGTCTTTAAACCCAATGAGCCAAATGCTGATATTTTAGGAGTGTAAAAAACGTACCGACATCTTCAATTAACATTACATTACATTCCATTGCATTTAGCTGACGCTTTTATCCAAAGCGACTTACAATAAGTGCATTCGACCAAGAAGATACAAACTTGAAGAAAACAGAATCATACAAGTACATCAGGTTTCATAGAGCCAAAACATTTCAAGTGCTACTCATTAGGGTTCACTGCAGGCGCAACACAGTATGACTTCATTTTCAAATGTGGCTAGTATTGTAATCTACAAAGCGACATATTTGTATAAAGACAAAGTCCTCCTTGTGCATGTATAGCTCTAGCGATTTGCTTGGTAACACCTTTAAAATTCCAGGAAAACCAATATATGTGAATGACCTCCATCCTGTATCTATTCCCCCCTCAGGTAATGCTGTTCGTTGTGTCCTCGAAGTTCTGTGGCCATTTGTGATCATGCATTTGCCACACATAAGACAATTTTATCTTAATTCACTTAATTGTTTAGTGATTTTTATCAGGAAAGCAAGAGATGCCGCTTAATTATAGTACTTAAAATATCTAGGATACACCAGCTTAAACATGTTGCTCTTGTCATTTTCTCTGTAATAGCTTTTAAATTCCAGGTAAAGCAGTGTACATGAATGACCTCCATCCTGTATTATTTCCCCCTCAGACCTCGGTGATGCTGTTTGTTGTGTCCTCTGCCTTCTGTGGCCATCGCTGTGTGTTCATGCGTGTAAGCAGTTGGTGGAGAGCTGTGTCAGTGCAGGGTTTTTATGCTGGAGGGAAACGCGATCCATCACAGCCAGGGTTGTTACCCAGGTGCCTGAGCACAGCCTTGCACAGTCATCTCATCTCACCCTTTCCTTCTTTTATGACAGGCAGCTCAGGGAAGGACCTTCAAATTACCATCCCCTGAAAAATACACCGCTGTACGAATGCAGTTACACAGAAAAAATACACCCATAGGAACCGGTGTTAGGTTAAGATAAAGAGCGTACCGGCAATTTTACTAATCAGAATTTGCTGCTAATCAAGTCTTGGAAATTGAGCAGGTGCATATCAGTCCAGATCTGTGTTGGAATGATGAGACAGAGTACATGTTACTGACTAAATATCCTTGATCCTCAGGCTGTAAGAGAAACAGCAGATTTACTCAGATCACAATCAGCTAATCTTCATATAATGAGGAGGCGAGATGCAGCGAGGTTCAGTGATGGGTTTTAATTACATACTCTCTCAAACAGTTTTATACAGGATCAACAGTGGAATTATATTAATCTAGGGAATATCCTCAGGTCCTCCGGGAGTGACCGACACATTGCTGCATCGGTTTTACAGTACTTGACCATAGGCATGAATGTCTGCAGTGCATTTTTTATGCTGTACATGTCATGAAAATGATTTTAAGCCATGACAAATCAATAAGCAGCAATCGGGTTTAAAGCAGTCTCTCAGCTGTGACCTGCATGATTTAAACAGATGTTATGGTACAGCAGAGTGGGGGGGACGAGGACGACACACACAGCACTACAAGGTAGAAAGGGAGGAAGAGGCTTTGAGAAGAGGCATCAAAGGGAAAGAGGGCACAGTGAAGACAGAGCAGAAAATGTGTATCGCCTGTGGGGGATCCATAAAACCAAACAATCAAGCACACGATGATAAAAGCGTTTGAAACAAATGAACCTAAAATACCCGGGGTGTAAAATAATACATAAAAGTACATCCTATTGACAGCGAGCTTCCAGTTGGATACTTATATATATATATATATATATATGCTATTTTATTCATCATTATAGGTATTTTGTAGATTAAACACTAGGCTAAATCTTTGCAACATATAACGTACTTCTTAGCATTTTTTAACCATATATACTGTCTTTGTGCGTACATCTTAAATATAACATGCATTTACATACAGGATACACAATACTGTATGGCTTAAAGTAGGCCCACATGTACCAATGTTACTTTAAACAGTATGCAATTACACATTTGATTAATAGCTGCATTGTTAAAGGTGCAAATTTAGATTCTGATAAATGTCTCTAGCAATAAGTGCTCAAATTAGCCTTGATTTTACCATTTACAAAAATAAGTCATTACTTGACATCTAAGTTTTACAGTGTTACAGATTGCTAGCTTAGCTTGACAAATACTGCACAATACCACATATATCCCATCTACACGTTTTCTGAAAAAACAACTTTTGGAGGATATGCTGGTGGTCATAACAAATCTTTATAAAAGAAAGCAAGTGGTTAAAAATGGATCACTTGGTTTAACAGTCTGTTACTGGCTACTGTGAACGTGTACAGTATTTGTATAGAGCAATATTTACTTGAAAAAAGTTAGATGTGAAGATTGATACCATTCTCATATCTCTATGAAAAGGTTAGCTAGAGACAACAGCTAGTTAGCTTAGTTTAGCAAAAAGTCTAGAAATTATAAATAGTTAGAGAGAACATGCAATCCATTTTCAGTCTTTTTACGAAGCAACCACTAAACATCTTTATATTTACCGTACAGAATTAGATCCTCGTTAAATGAGAAAATCGCTACCATTTAATTTGTTGCAGATTATTCTGGCAAGAAAGCAAATAAGCCTTTTTTCCCAAAAGGTTGAGCTCTACCTTTAAATGTACAAGCCGCATTTGCTAGCAAGCTGACCGTGAATCCCTGTCACCGGAGCCCCCAAATCCACGTCCATTTGACACGTCCTTGAATGCAACACAGTGATAAGTTGAGTGCTTCCAACAAGAATGGCAACCAGATGCATTTTCATGCAAATTGCATCCCTTAAAACACTAAACTCACAATCAAAGTGTGAAGTATGATAGAAGCGGAAAGTAGTGTTGGGTATGTTGGACACATACTTATATGTTCTGAAGAGATACAGGTGAAGATCTTAACGATTTTGACACACCAATAATGGAACTATGACTTATTTTAGGCAAAGAGTTTCCATGTGAAGTAAAGGTGGCCTGTGTTGGACCTACACCTTGGAGGATTTAAAGGACACCCCGTTGTACATGTCAGCCCTGAGCTGGGCCCACTCTGTCATCTTCTGCACGGAGCCTTTCTCCCGGGTGAGGATGCGAGCAACTTTCTTCAGCTTCTGCTCGTTCCTCTCCAGATAACGGAGGCCCTCAGCCTGCAGCAGATTGAGCTTCTCTTGCCGGTTCTCATCCATCGAGATGTCCTCACTCATGTAGGGGTTGAAGCGGAAATAAGTGCCGTTGGGGAGGAAAGCATCAAGCATGACGTGAACCTCTGGAGGGAGGAAGAGAGGTGAGAGTGAGTTCACACGAAAAAACAAACATACAATTTGAAAGTGAGACCAAAATTATAAACAAACGATTATGTCCCTAATAGTCTCAATATGTACAAACGCTGAAATATTTTGTAACGAGTGAGAAAGTAAAAACGTGTCTGTGACTGCTTTACATGTGTTGCAGACTAATCACTCAAGGCTGAGATGGTGAGCTAATACCAAGTGAAAGTGTCTGGCTTGTCAGTCACGGTGGTTTCCAAATGCTACGTCTGAGAGGTTTAAAATCAACAAGATGCAAATGCATGCTAACAGGCTGCGAGTAGCAATAACAGGGTAAATATGCCTGAAGGATCCAATAAAGGTGACGGAGGTTGTTTCTGTCTGTGTTCCCACAGCAGTGCAGAAGTTCAGACACAGATTCAGTCAGAACTAGATGCCTTTCAGTCTGAGGAGCATAAGTCTACACAGAGTATTTTATTTAAAAGGTTATATAGAGAGGGTTTTATGGACTTTTATTTCTTGACTTGCTTATTTTATTAGCTCCACGTACTGTATTACATTATTGCATTTTGAAAGAATATGTTCTGAAAAGTAAAAATAAGATAAGCATTTACTAAATTCTGAAATGACGCAACATCATTTGTCTAATCTAGAGATGTAATATGTTTTCTATCTAATTATTATTCACTGTTTTTCTCAATGTACTACCCAAAGTTTGTCTCTGCTTTTCAGCTCTCCGTGTGAAACTTAAGACTGATCAGCGTAACAAGTTAGGTGACAACTGTTAAAGACTCTGATTTTCCCTATCGCCTAAAGAAATGACCATGTTGGCAGCAGTCTCTCAATTTCCACAGCTGTTTAAAACACTTACATCACAGATTTGACACTTGTATATTCACTTAATGAATTAAAGTTATATTGAATACAAATCAGTTTACATAGGGAACAGGTGAGTCACCTTCTAATGCTAGGTTATTTCATCCTGATGAAATATATTATGAAGAAAATGCCATGCTTTGTATCGTAAGAATATTCAAACAGACTTCAGAAATATTGTACTTCAGGAAAACTACTCTAGATACTTAATTACTACTCCAATAACTGAGTTTAGAGCACAAACAGATATGTGCAGAAAGCCTGCATCTATGGGTTCAACAAGCTCACTGCCATGGGCTTTTACCACAGGCTAGCATTTCTTTTGCAGGCTCATAACACTCTGAGCATCCCAATATGTAAGCAAATAGTTTACAGGTATTGCAAGTTTCCACAAAAACCAAAAATTGCCAATAAATAACTTTGTGAAACACAGAGATTCGAATTATAAAACATATTTGTTCCATTTTAGTTCCGGATGTCTAGACTGCAGCTCCACCTTATGGAGTATCTCATTTTTTAGACTGATCGAGTTTGTGAATGAGAACAAGCCAGTTCCATCAGGAGCTTTGTTTATACATCTAAACCCCCATTAGATCAGCCTTATCTGTTTACAACAACAAGCTTTACTGATACAGCCATGACAAAGCAGGAGGCTTGTGAACACTGAGACAGGAGGGAAGCTTTTGAAAAAAAGTAAATATGCGATAAACACTTTTGCTAATCTGCTGTTTCTTAATAACAAAGCCTGTTGGAGAGCTGGGTAGAGCTTAATCCCGAATACAGAAGGAACAAGTGCAGAGAGGCATCTAGGTCACCCTCAGCACCACGGAGCAGCAACAGGGGGGGGGACCGAGCCAAATTTAGGCTCAGCAGAGGTGCCCATGTCCAGAGGTGATAAGGAGACGGAAGGGGGCTACTACAGAGGGCCAGGATGGGACGTATCCAGAACAAAGTCAAGCTGCAGTGCAGTGTTTTCTACACATCAAAGCCCAGCTCCTTCTCTCAGAACAGACAGAGACAAAGGGCATAATTCATTTAAGTCTTTGAACATTCTGATTATAGTCTGTATTCATTTAATCTTCATGTGCAGACAAAATAAAATGAAGGTAACTACAGTAAATCAGCAATGCAACCAATGCCTAAATAGATGCTATGCATGCTGGCAAGTTTGATATTTTGAACAGTGTGCGCCTTTGTTGATCCAGCTTGTCTGTATTTGGCACGTTGCGTCATCATTTTTGGGACATATTAAGTAGTGTTTCCACATGTTGGACAGAAATAAGCAGACGTTGTTGACACTGTGCCAGCTGGCATTTGTTGCTTCAAATGCTCCCAAATGAAATGTTGAGAGCCAGACCTCTTTAATAGTTAATCAAATCAACAATATGTAACCCTTTTTGCTGTAGTGTTAATAATTGGGATCAAAAGGGGGAATGTGAATATGTATAATCACACTTCCACTATTCAGAAGGTGGATGAGAGACACATTTGTTTAAAAATGAACTAAATGAAAGCTAACTTCATATCCACAGAGGAGATTATACAATTGGTGGAATATCCCTAAATTACAGTAAGTTTATTTAGTAGTTTCAAGGTTTATGTTTATACACGTTATATTGATAAAGAACCAACGAATATACAGTTCATTTGAATGATGTGTACATTTACCAGGGTATATGCAGGAATCCTGAAGTCCAAATGTAAGACCTTTTAAGACCTTTTTTAAGACCCTTTCCATACATTTTAAGACCTCATCGCCACTTTGAGTTCTAACCGGTTACATTGGCGACACACTTTACCTCACATTTACTATATACAGTATTGATTGTCCTTCCTCCTTATCTTCCAACCATTTGGACGCAGACTTGCATTTCCCCATAACGATGTTGTTTAACAACCGGCGTAAACGGACCTTCGCTCGCTATCAAGCAGTGAGCGTGCGATGTCCTGTTCAGATGACGTCAAATCCAACGGGATGCCATAACTAAACTACACAGAATCACACTACACACCTACGCAATGATTACATTCAGGCACACTTTAGAATACAACCTCTTTGGACAATTTATATACTTATTGAAAACAAGCTACAAAATGTAATACCTTGGAAAATGCCGTTTAATACTTTTTAATAGCCTTAATTTTCGCTAAATTGATTCATCAACTTTTAATACTTTTTAAGACCCCGCGGACCCCCTGATTTACAGTCCAATAAGTCAGAAAGACCGACTCTCAATTACAATAATGCACCTTTATCATATTGCAGTTACGGTCCCTTACCCTCAGTGTCTGTGGCGCTGCTGATGATATTGTTGAGTTTGGTCTTGAGGCTCGTGGAGGTGGTGCCCTTGCCAGGAGTATCAAAGGCGCGGCCCGTACCGAGTGAGACCACACACTCCAGAGGCGTGTTGGGCCACAAACACTTACTCTCATGGATAGCCAGGGCTGTGGGGTTGTTAATCAGCAGACCTCCATCCTGTGCACAAAACACAAGAAGTGCCATGTTAGAGAATTCTCATATAAACTGTGAATGTGTTCGTGCCAGGACCACAGTCAGCAATTCATTGGCATTTGAAACCTCAAAAAACCTTCATGGATTTTAACCAGTCAATGGATGAAGTTTTAGAAGAACCCTTGACAATACAAAAATAACCAATCAATGTGCAGTTCCAGAGCTGCTTGTAAACGTACAAAGCATCGAGCTACATTTTCCCCCCCCCCCCTCCTTTTTCCTCACAGTTTCAGTCAAACTCGCTTTGATATCGAACAACCGCCCAGGAGTGCTTATGCTTTGGATCCATAGTGTACCCAAGGCGGTGGGGGGGTGGGGGGGGGGGGGGGGTGGGGATAACTGGAGAGGCTGTGGGGATTGTTGAATAGGCATGAGGCTGAGGGGCCGCAGGGCTGTGGGCTGGCAGCAGGATCAAACACACAGGGGCCAGTCCTCATTAAAGAGGCCAGGCTGGGGGGTGGGAGCCGCAGGGCCCCAATTGTCTTGGGACACACTGGAGGGAAGAGTGCTTGTTTTTTACGACTGTATGCATGTGCATGTTTGATCGAGAGACTGCTTAGAGTCAACGCATATAATAATGTGGGTACGTGTCTCCGACAGCATATGTCACATGGACGCACACACATAGGGCCTTGGGGACGAGAGGGGAGGGAACATCCCATCTTTTCAGCACACACAGTGGCGTCAAAGCCAAGGTTGTGATGGGGAATACTGTGTAAAGGCAAAAGGTCTGCTAATCATCCGGGAACCTTGACTGAGGAATTGCATCATCAATCCGAAGACCAGGAACATAGAATTGCAAAAGGGAGATGGCTGTTGCATTTAGACTGGGGGCACTGCATCAAAGAATAGCTCCCATGATAGCAGATGCTTAGAACAATGTTGTGTTACATTGAGAAATACCAAGGAATTCAGCAAAGCAGGCCAATAAAGACAAATCTAAGTCTAAAGAAAGCATGTTTCTCTGTTAGGATGTACTGATCGATTAGGATTGGAACAGTGGTCTCTGGGCTAAATGCTACAGTCAGCATGCTAAAATGCTCACAATGACAATAAAAAGATGCTGATTTTTAGAAGGTATGTTCACCATCTTACACTAAGTGCAGTTTGGCCTGAAGAAAATGCCCTTAGTGTTGCAGGAATTTGGTCATAAACCAATGTACTGCTACCAGAGCAGTAGCTATTAGTATCTATCTCTTTTTCATGAAAACCCATCAAATGTTTGAAACATTAAAAGACCAAGTATTAAAACAATGACTACATTCATCCTCTCAGAACCATGAATGTCTGAACTAAATATCTAACATTTTAGTCTGGACCTACAAGCGTCGCAAAAATGAATAAATGGGAAAGATTACAAAGGGAAATACTTCCAGTCCCTCTGGGAGACACTTTCCGATAGAGGAAGCTTTCAATAATTTCAAAGACGTAATAGTATGATAATTAACTGCATGAATCATTTAAAACCTTATAGTAAGCTATTTAATGAATGTCCTGTGTGAGCCTCAGAGAGCACCCCAGCTCACAGGCTGAGATGGAAGTCACGCAAAGAGGGTTTCACTCGGCCACAAAGCAAGGAGAACTGCTGAGGCAGCTGTTTGACCAAAGCACGTCATTATGAACCAGTAGGGAGTCTGGCAGAGCAAAAAAATGAATCACAGGAGAGGGAGAAAACGCCTGCATTGGAGTTGCTCCTGACGAAGACTTTAGAGGGACTTGAACTGTGGAAGACACCAGACGAACCCAGCTGGAAACAAAACAACTAAGCAGTTTTCTTTATCACTCACACCCTGTCAGAGGCTCCATTTTCTGAACTCAGTGGCAATTATGGCAACAGTCTGGGTCCAGTCACGGGTTCTTTGTGCCGATAGCTCGGGGGCAAGTTTCACAAGCACAGTGGCCGGCCTTGCACACAGAGCAAAGGCATGTAACGTTAGAAGCCAAGTGCACAATGCTCCTGTGAGTGGGGAGTTGAATGCAATAACTTGTCTCCATTACAGTGCACCTGCTCGAGCACTTCAGAGAGTTGTGGAGAAATGTAAGAAAAGTCATATTTTGTGGCAGTGAGGAAGTTTGTGGTGTCACTGGAAGGTAGCTTTTATTTGTCTGTGGAGTTTTACGAAGAATCAATAATTCAGAAGATCATTTGCATCCGTCACCTCTTTCCACAGCTGTCATGAAGAAATCGTACTAGTCTCGACATGCACTGAGATGCTGAAGCTGCAGTGCTAAAGCTGAGATTTCCACACTTGGCCCGGTGCCACATTCTCACACAAGGGGTTTATGAGGCCCAAGGCATATTTGGACACAGATTTAAGTTAGAAACAATGATCTACTTAGGACAAGCTGCAAATAAGCTTTGCATAGAAAATGACCAAACACATGCTGCCTGTCAAAACACGCAGCATGACGCAAGGCAAAGGTCACTTCCATTTATGTGGATTTATAGCTGTAAATAATGCTAATAAAAGAACGTTTCAACACATTGATGTCCTCAGAGAGCAATCCCTTAAAAGTGGAGACCATCTGACGGAAGTTATATACGTCAAGAGTCTGAGCGGAAACTGTATGTCGAGTTTGAATCCTGTCTTCCTGAAAGGCTTAATGATTTCCTTTGACAGCGTTCCTTAATTCCGGCGGGGGCTGATTGTTGATGCTCCAGAGGATCGCAGTTCCTCTGGCCTCGCCTTTGCCCTTCAGGCTCTAACGGCTGAATCACAAATCAGCTCCGCATTGTCCTGTAGCTAGTATAAAGCATCTATTCAACTCATTAGGACGTGTACACCTTCGGGAATATGTTTCGCAATTTTCCGATTGGCCAATTAAACTGAAATATTGCTTTCAAAAGAAACCGTTCTTGCAGCGTGTTGTCAAATAAAAACTACTGAGATGATACGAGTCATGATAAATAAACAAAAATTAAGACGTGAGGTCCCCTTGCATTGCTGTTGGAAAATTGCACCGCAGTCATTAACTTTTGGGAGCTTATCTTCATTGTGCCAGTGTAAGCCGTCTTGAGAGCGAGTGCTGATTTGAATAGGAAAGAGGTGCTATCGCCAGGATCAGTAAAAGTCATTTCACGCACCAGTGTATGTCAGCTCCTATTAAGTGGGACAGCAACCTTCTTCCTCTTCATTCAGACCGTGTGCCTCTCCCGGCCTCTCTCACCCAGGGAAGGCTTCAATGCCCTCTTGTGTGAGGGTCATAATGAGCGGCCCCAACACAGGAGAGAACAGAGTGCCTGCTCAAATCTAAATGAGGTGAACCTTCGACATACATCTGGGGAAGCGTTCACATCACAGTCCCAATGAGCAGCTGTAGTCATTAAGATCTCTTCTTCGGCTTCAGTGACCGAGCTGGACTAAAGGGCTGTCATGATTTATTATGAGGCCCTGCCAACGAGGCTCCATTCTCTGAAGTGATTAATTAGCGAAGCATTACATAAGACCAGGACATCTGATTATGAGACAATAACCACACTGTTTTCCCCAGTGATGGTCATTCAATCGATAAACTAGATAATTAGGCGGCTATGAAAAACTCTCTCAATACTTTGCACAAATCTTTCAAATCAATCCTCGCAGTTTGCACATAAAAGAAAGTGTTCTCTCACTCTATGTAATCAGTCAAATAAATCTGCTCATTGAAGAAAATGAATTGCTTAAATGGCATCCAATCCACACAAAGGATACCATTGTCACCGGGGGAAGATGAGAATGACAACGCAGTCGGTGTGGTGACTCTTAAGGTCGAGTCAGAGGTCTTCATGCCATATTATGCAATTACCGACCGGTTCTTCTCTGCTTTATAGGTCCCAAAGGGTCACATGGAGGTTCAAGTCATCTTCCCAAGCTGTCAATAAAAGGAGAGCCTCATGTGCGAGTGCCAACTTTGCCCCGGGCATGCAAAGAAATTGAGATCTACTGTGCACGGTTAGCTTTTCCCACACATTCGGTGAATACATGACCACACATGTGCATCCAGTATTGAAACAATGAATCATCCCGGTCGGCTGTAGCCATTCAGATTAAACTGTGACAATTCCTGCATTGATATAAATGGGTGCAGTCAGAACACCTCTCTCATATTTACTCAGTTTAGATTTCCTTGAGGCTCTTTAATGTATATTTGACAACTTCATATTGGAAAGAATAATTTTTCTGTCCATCATGTAGTGAACCATGTAAGGCTAATTTCCCTGCTGCACACAGGAGAGGTGACTGTGCACACACACTCTTGCATATCAATGCATTTGAATGCAGGATTCAAAGCTGTGATTTGTACCAAGGAATCTCATTGGGAGCTGCTGCAGTGAGAAGCTTGCTAAGTGTGGTGCACTGTGGGAATACAAAAGGTTTAGGGACAGAGGAAGATGTGGGCAACATAATTAGGGGACTGGCCAAGTGTGGCAATGTTTGTGCATGACTGAAAACACATGAATACAACAGAACAAAAAGAGCAGTCAGTGCAGGAAACAGAGTGACAACGAGAGACTCACTGTTTATACTTAAAGGACAACAATTCTGAGTCTTTCTGGGAGGAGCGAAATGTCTGCAGCAAGGCTCAAAGTCTGAGCTTCATCCTCCAACCGCCGAGCTCTTTGGGCTTAACACAGGAGGGGAAGACTGGGATGAGGAAGAGGCTAGAAGCTTAGATTTATACTCTCTGTCGCCTCCCAGAATCCACCACTTCTCCTCCTCTTTGCCTCATCTGAGAGGCGCTGCGGTGCTGAGCATGTCATTTATGAGCAATAACTTTGCCTCCAGTGGCCTTTACAAGAGAGAGAGGGAATTGAGAAAAGGTGATCCAAAGGTTATGTCTTCTTGAATGGCACTTTTGGAATGGCAATTAAGTGAGACCCTCTTTCTCCTCACACAGAATCAAGACATTCTGAGACTATTAGGCCGTTTCTCAATGTCGAGTATACCTGCTGCAGAGCCGCTATTTCAAGTATACTACGTCATCGAGTGTCGCCGAAGGACTGTTTAAATGCCCAGCATTCGGCGCCACTCGATGACGTAGTATACTTGAAATAGTGGCTCTGCAGCAGGTATACTCGACATTGAGAAACGGCCTTAGACTCTTTGATGAGTCACTCCCTCTGCCATTTATAAGCAACACAAATATGGGAGTGCCGATGTGACCTGCTCCATTTTAAGGCTGTGTGAAGTCTTTCTGCTGAGCGTTGTGCCATGTTAAAGCCCTCAAGAGCTCACACTGAGGGTGGTGGCCCACTGATCCCATGCCTCCCATCAAATGCTGGCAGAGGTGGGCACAAAACATGCTCCCATTCCTCCACATCCACTCAGGAGACGCCATGGCAACTAGGCGTAAAAAAATGGGGTCCTCCTCGCCATTCTACGCATGCTCTGGCATCCATTGTGAAACGTCGGGAGTCTTCTACTTCTGTGTTCTTTAAAGCAGAGATAACTGAGGGAGCTTTAATGTGGAACCACCCTCCCTTCATCTCTCTCTTCATTTGTTTTGCTCCTTTCCCCTTGTTCCCCCTCACTAAGTCGTCTTCTTCATGGCTGTGGTAGCAAGTGTGAGGCTTTGATAACACCGTGACTGTTCTGCTTCAAAAGGTCTTGCTACAAGTCACATTTTCCCCTGCGTTTACCAGTTTGAATCTGAAGATATGATTGCACGTTTTCATTTACAGTATCACAAAAACATCAACGAAACAATCACAACCTTCTCGAAACGCCGCTTGTGAATTCCAGCATTCGTTCAGCACATGGCGCCGCGACTCTCCTGCGCTCACCGTACAAAAGGATGATTGTTTAGGGCTTGAATTAAGTGGAATACTCTGTGGGCGTTTGTGGAAAAGAGCGAGATGACTCTCTCTCTAGGGAATCCTGACATCACACAGACAGCATGTTATACTCATGGCTGGCTTCAGTGGCTCAAGTAGCCAATAAAGAAAGCCATCAGGCTGGGTGGCCGTCTGAAGCTGCCGAGGTTCACATGGAAATTAAATTGGCTGACAGCGCTGCGAAAAAACGTATTTTAGAAGGAAAGTTATTACAACTGCTCTACTTTGACTTTCACAAGATGACACTGTTCAGTCCAGTTTAAAAAAATGATATCTTAAGTATTTTCATCCTGGTTTAAGCGAGTTTTAACGAATACAAAACTGATAGTCTCTTTATATCTCTTGGTGCCGCTAAAGACACAATGGATGCTTCTGCAAGTTGTTTTATTCATTTCATTCACATCTCTATATACTGTTTTCCATTGCTTTTCTGGTTGTGAAATGTTTTCATGAACAAAACAAGATCTTAAATCATGAAATCATGTTTTTCAGCTATGGCTGATAGAAGGAAAGGCTGTGGAGGTAGAATAATATGTGAGGACTGCTCACTGAAAGATATTTTAAGCAAGCACAATTACTGTAAGGTGCACTTTTTCTACATAACTTCACCTCCAGTGGGAATTCCGATGTATGAAATAATAAACAGACTCAACTTTTTTTCAAAATGTACTGGTTCAAGGCCTCATATTGATGTTTTGATGTTCAAATCTCTTTTGGAAAAGCAAAGCATAGCAAAACAAATGCTAGTAGAATACCTTCAGTCATGGTGAACACACGAGTAAAACATTTTAACTAAATCAAAAGGATAGAAAGTGGAACAAACGAGCAAAAGCACAAATCACACAGGAATTACCAGTCAAGGCAAAACACCTCCTAAAATACTCTCTGGCTGGAGAAAAACAAGAACGAAGCAACAAAAAGTGTTACTAAATCAGGACAGAAGCTCTCTTTCTCTAATTTCATATTTATTTTGTCATTCAGAAGTTTCTTTATCGCAGATATGAAATGATAGTGAAACATTTCACATCAAATGTATAACATATTTAGCTCCTGATGGTGTCTCATCCTCTCACAGTATGAGGTTTCCCTGCTAGCGGCTAACACATTTTGAAATAGCAGTTCCATAAAAAGGTTGTCTGTCGTCTCATTCTAACGAGGCAGATGTGGCACTCAAACAATCGCGTGTGATGAAGGAAACGCTGCACTGTGCTAATGTATGCATCTCAGAGTATAAGCGGAGACCTGCTAGACGACAAGCTGGGGAAATCTTCCCACTACAGGTGGCTTTTCATCACATAGTCTCTTTCATTCTCTCCCCCTGAAGCCCCCCCACCACTCACCTACGTAACTAACACAGTTTCCAATTAAGAGTGTGGGAGCGTGCCGACATGGGATATTGCCTTTGATGCAAACACATGCTCATTCACGCGTGCCGTGTCTACGTTAAGTCGTCAGTCTCTACACCCCGTATGTGTTTTGAATGTCGCTTGAAGGGGATATTGAATTCCTCAAGTGACAGGTCAAACACAGGCTACTTAGACTGAATAATAAAACAGGTGGAGCATAGTGACTTGCAATATTGTTCTTTTGTGCTTTCTTATCTCTTTTTTCATAACGCACTTTCCTGAAATATTCTTTTTTTAAAGAGGCCCGAGGCTATTATGCTCATTTTCAGGCTACATTTGCATTTTGTGCCTCTACTGTGACATGTTGACATGCAAAAAAGGTCTTTATTTAAGTTACTCATACTGATTGTTGTGATTGGTTAACCGCTTAGACGTCACGTACAATGTGTTGGAGTTCTAGCCAATAGAAGCGCAAGTGTTACATAGTGACGTCACTATGTTAAGGAAGAAAACAAAGGAGTCCAATCGAGGCACTTCAGGCACGGAGGTGTGTGTGGGAGAGGAACTCCCTCTTTCGTGAACTTTGGGATGTTAGCCATTTACATGCACAAAAGCCACACTACAGGAAAGGGAAACCAAAAAGCATAAAAGGCACTTTCTATGATTCTATGCCTCTACTCCTGTGGTTTGTCGTTTCTACTGTGCTCTCTTCTGACTTAGGCCTTGCCGAAAAGGTAAAGGCAGACGGAGTAGCCTTGGATATTGATCAGTCAAACGGTAGAGTGCAGTGGTGGTTTGCTATGTCTCTGATGGCTAATGCATACCTGTTTAGTGGAGACGGATTTAAGTGCGTCTCACTGCGACTCAATCTACCGTCAAGATGTAACTGACTGGAAATAAGCCCTGACAGGACGGAAATGGAGTTCCTTCCTCTCTCTCTTGCTGTGCGGAGGATTTTTCTCATTAGTCTGCCTCAAAATCCTTCAGACTCTCCACTGTCAACACTGACTGCATAAAGGGCATTTAAATCCTGCAGCCATACAATGAGCCCTGGATTACTGTAGCAGAGGACTGCAGTTAAATTGTCAGAACTAGGTGTGTAAATATATGGTGTGAATGTGAAACAAGGGGTGAAAGAGAACATGAATACAAAATACATCTTCACAGGTAAAATTAACATTATATTCCACACTATTTCACAGGTGAAGCAAAGGTCTTTAAGCGGTCTGCACTGTGGTACACAGAGGACTTGTTTGTGCAATATGTTCATGCCTCTTAACCAAACAGTTGTTCAAATGTACATTTATTGAGTACAAATATTCAGGAAAAGCTTAAGAAACAAAAACATTGTCGAACAACATCTTTGCAAAAGAGAAATATGTGTTTCGCAATACTGAAGATACCCCCTAAATTAGACCAAGTTGAAGTAAATAAAATGGAAAATGGACTTATGGCTTGCCGGTAAGTATTAACACATGGGTACTTTAGGGACCTGACAATTTACTATGTTATTTTGAACATGATCATGAAAAGAAAAGCTGTTTTGTTTGGAGTCTTCCCAAACTCAAAACGACTATCTATTTTGCATTTGGACTAAATTGACTAAGCTCGGTTTGACACTTCTTGACTCAAGGACTTAAGTACATTTGGAAACATTGAGCTTGGTGATACATAAACTGTTCCAATAGCAATGTTTGTATGCATGTCTCAGATTGATCTCGCTGTTTGAGGGCTTGATAGCCCACTCCCCCTCCACACCGCTCCACACTCGTTGGTTTGGAACATCACTTAATGTGGCGGACCCTCCGTGCGAACGCGCAAACGGAGGGGTAGTGTGTAGGGGTAGGGTGTAGGGCGTGGTTTGGGATTGAGCCATAGTCATACATTCTATCACTTCTCATCTTCTGTATCCAACAGTGATGTTGTAGAGATTTGATGTTTTATTTAATCACCAAATGCATTATAATCTGTGGCACCCTATCCACTACCCTGTTACAGTTGTGAGTGACACTGACCTGGTGGAGATCATTTCCCAGAGTGAACTCCTGGAAGTACCCCGGGGCGGCTGATGAGGCGCGGATGGCCTGCCACAGCTGGTGCTGGCACCCCCCCAGGTAGTGAGAGCGCAGCCCAGGCAGCAGGTTGTAGTTCCTGAACACGTAGGCCTTCAGAGGAGTCCCACGGTTCACAATGGTGCTCACCGCTGACACCTAAAGGTAGAGGAAATTACATACAGCTTGACGTTCTTTTTAAAGGTCTCCTATTATACTGTTTTTCATCAATATATTATAGGTCTCAGATATATACAAAACATGTCAAAAACAGATCGGGCATTGTAGCATCCCATAATCCCCTCTGTTTCAGCCCTGTTTCAAAAGAGCTGATTCTCTGTCTGTTGCTTTAGATGAAAATAAGGAGCCACTCCCCACACCCCTCTGCGAGATATTTGGTTAAAAAGAACACAATGGTGCTCTAGGAGGAGATTCAGGTGATAAGGTGTGGGGGGGGAGGTGGGGGTTACCTTGGTTGGTGATTGGCTAATGGTTACACAAGCCAAGAAATCGTTATGATGACATCATAAATTGGCCAAAATCTGATCAGCTCATTTTCAGACAGGTTTTTATATAAATGGACAAAAAGTGAGTGAATCTTTTTTCCTGAAACGTTCAGAATCTCTTTACACAGAGGGGACACATGTTTATGTATAACAGACATGAAAAAAGTGGATTTTGCACAATAGGTGACCTTTAAGCATGAGGCAGCATTTTATATACAGATACAAAATGCAGGCGTAATTTGAAGATCTATATTCTGACATATGAATTTAATATCATCCCAGTTCTACAAGCTTCAGAGGAGTTTGCTGACATATGAAATCCTGTTTACTTGATCCACACTGTCTTTTTATGTTGTAATTTCCTTCCACTTGTCATTTCAGAGGTATGCAAGTCAGCAATAGAGATAGAGAAGGGAGCTTTCTTTTTCATATCCCAGTGCCAAAGGTTCTGTGACCAAAGAGCTTACTGGTTGGAGCCTGAACAGAACAAGATGAAGAAAGAGAAGAAAGATCTTCTAAGGCTCACCTTGGGGCATTCTGGGTTTCTTGAAGTTTCCACCAGAAGGTGAGAGCCCATTTTCTCTCTGTGGAAGGGAAGATAGGAAGATTTTATTTTTGGGGATTAGTGAATGTTTGATGGTAGTAGTACGTGTGACACACTTCTTTTTGCAAGCTTCACAAAATCCTTCTGCTTATCAGTTACTGTAACGGTAGGGATGGGACGATATAGTATGAGCGTAGCTCGCTATTATGGTAAAGATGTGAAAATAAAAAAATATATATTATCATGATAAAAATACTCATACAATGTTGCTATTTTTGTATGTCTTCTATTTACAGTATTAAGGGTTAGGGTCGTGATGATATTTAACACTGTTTGATTGTTTGTATCACACTATAAATAGACATACTTGTTCCTTAACAAAAATACAGAGGTGGGAGTAAGTCCTACATGTGCAAGTCATGAGCAAGTCTCAAGTCTTAACCTACAAGTCTCAAGCAAGTCCCAAGTCACTGTGGTGAGAGTCAAGCAAGTCAAGTCATTGCTCAGGTCAAGCAAGTCACAAGTCAAGTCATACGAAATTCTGATGAATAACCCCAGTTTCCGCATTTAAATCAGTTAAAATATTGTGGTTATGAAAAGGTTAGTTTTATTTTCAACATAAACAGCAATGGAGAGTGGGGCGCTGAAATTATAACCCTCAAGTCATGAATACCAAGTCAAAGTCAAAGTCAAGTCTTTTATCAATGTTAGTCAAGCAAGTCTCAAGTCCAAAAATATGCGACTCGAGTCAAGTCATGTGACTCGAGTCCCCCACGTCTGAAAAAATATAAGGTTAAGGGATTCCTTTACATTTTAGTGCTTTTTAATGAGTTTTAACCTTATTTTGATGATTGGCCAGAATAATGGTGACACAAAATGTACATATTGTCCCATGCTAGCTTGAGAGCAATTTGCGATTGGCATTGTTATTTTCAAAGGACCATTCCACTGTATTAAAAAGTGAAGTAAATGTTGTATCTTAAACAATCTATATATGCATTAAATGACTGCTGACCATATTTTAGCATGCAGAGTTATTCTTTCAAATATTTTTCAGAATGATTACAACCAGCCACAGTTATACTGCAATAAATACATTATTGTTGAATGGCAATATCACTCATTATTACACATCATTTTGACATCAATAAATAGCAGATGTGATGATGTGATGGTCACTTTGATTTACCTCCTAATTTTTATGTTATACTTCAAATTCACTGTGTGTTCACTTTAACTTGCATGGCATTTGAACATGGCTTGAACTGAACTAGGCACAAGAGCTACTCTGCCTTGAAAGACGTAGGCTCTGACCTGAGGATGTTCTCCCAGGCTTCACTGTCATAGAAAGCGTGGTTCCAGCCCATCTTCACAGTGCCAACAATGACGTTCTGCTTGAAGACATCTGAGCCCAACTTCCGGTACAGATCATCACACTCGTTCAGTGGGATCTGGAACACACCTAGCATGAACCCTAAGATAGCACCTGAGGAAGAAAAAAAACACAAAACAATAACATTTAAAGGGGGTCAGTGACTGAGAAGGATTGGTAAACTTTAAATTCAGATATACTACACATATATATTGTTTCACTGTGTTTTTTGTATTGTTATTCTGTCCCTTTTTGAATATTAATATTAATATTTGTAATATTTATACAACTTAATTCCTCTAACTGTGATAATCCATGCACCTTTATTTACCAAAGCAGATTTCTTGTACGTCTAAACCTACTTTGCAATAAACCTGAATCTAGTTCTTAACTAAGCACACTACAGCATACATTTTTAAACAGGAAGTATAAAGCTTCAGTTACTCCGGTGGGAACAAAAATAAACGAGCTAACAGGTTGATCTTTTAGTACTCTCAAGGCCTGAAATTGAAGCTACACTAATTGCCTGATTATCTGTTAGACTAGACGTAACACTTCTCTTGGGTGATCTATTCATAAGAAGATCATTAGATGAACTTTCCCTTCATGATTAAGTTTCTCTGACAGGATTTCTAAGACACTACATTGCTTTCAGGCGGAGAGATGGGGTTAACCTGAGGGATGTGGGTGATCAAACCCGCCAGATGTGGCCCAGATGGGTTTCAACTGTTTGAACATCATTCAATATAGCAGGTTTACATTATGCTATGACAACATTCATAATGTAGCTTCAACTGGTGGAGATTAAGTGTGAAAAGGCTGATAGCAACTTGGGACTAATACAAACTTCTGGTAGTGATAAAGAGCCAAAGTGTGAAATTAAGACAACCAGGCAGCAGATGGAGAAGAACAGTTTAAAATTGCTGCACAGTACCCTCTAGTGGTGGTATGTTATACATGGAAAAAGTGTGAATCCATGTATTGGCAATTCCCTGAAACCAAATGAAGCGTTACAATTGTATGACATATATAATTGTATAATGTCCTTACGAATTTGAACTATTTGAAACTGTCATCTGAGGCCTGTATTGAGTACAGATCTAGAGAAGCGTTGGTGTTTAAATGTAGGTCAAAACAAGAGCAGAGAAACAAATGGGTCAGGGTGTGATCAGTGCTGCCAGTCCAGCCGGCATTATAGCACTCTGCTCATAATCCCAGCACACGCACACCGCACAGAAGTAGGACAGAAAGAAGACACACCTGTGCTGACACCACAAATATAGTCAAAGAGTTTGTAAATGGGTTTGCCGGTCAGAGCTTCCAGCTTATGTAACGTCTGAAGTGCAAGAAGTCCTCTGAAAGTACAAAGTCAGACAGAGATAATAAACACAAGAGAGACACATGAATACAATGACAACCACAACACACACTGGCTACAAAGAGATACAGCTGATTGATTGTATTATTAATTCATATTTTGTATCAAAATGTATATGATTATTACGATTTTATTTTTAATTATTATTATTATTATTATTAATATGAAGATTTTTTTTTGTTGAATATATAAATATTATCGTGAATGTGGACAAATACTGTATTTTAACAATACGGTATTCTGTTTTTTCACATTTGTTATTTTTTATTTGTTATTTTTTAATCTGTTCGAAATAAAGATTGAAATAAAAAATAAAAAAAATAATAATATATATGATTATTACGACATACCAATGTAATCGTGTTAAAATAAAATGTGTGTATACATCTATACCCATATCTCTTGTGTGTGGGAGGAGAGAGGCACAGATTGGTTTTAAACTAGCACAACAAAGACCAATAGTCAATAAATCAGTATCCATTTAACTGAATGTTTCTTGAGAAAAAATGGAATTGTAAGGCAGACTGTTAATAGAAAACGTGAACTGCAATTCAAAGCATGGCCTTCACTGCAGTAAATGCTATTCAGTTCCACTCCACAAAAGCTTGACATCAGTGACTCATAGCTTACAGGAAAGAAACTGAAGAAGAGCCGAACTTGTACCTTAATCCTCCTCCGTCTATGGACAGGATCCTTATTCCTCGACCTTTCACAGGTTGTTGGTAGCCCACCAGAGCGAGGGCTTCTCTGACTGCTGCCCTCAGGCCCGGGTCACTGGCCTGCTTCAGACGCAGCAGGCAAGGGATAACCCTCTCCTGGTAAACACAAAAACATACCGTGGCACTCAGGAGTTGAAAACTAAAAAAGAGGTCAGTCCATCATGATGGGATCAGAGCAGAAATGGAAAGGCAAAAAGGAAGTGGGGTTTGAAATTGTGAAATAGAGTCAGCTGTGGGAGATATTGGAGTATTTGACTAGCAGTGGCGAGCCGTCAGGGCCCTCTAGGCCCTCTGTGAGGGCCTAAGATATTCTAAAAAATAATATTTAAAAACATTTAAAAAAAAAAAAAAAAAATTTAAATATATATATATTTTTAATATTATTTTTGTTATATTTTTCATTAGTTTTACCGAAAAAAAACTTGATTTAATTGTATATAAAATAACATTTCCAAATAAATAAATCCTTCGAATCTGCCTGTTCAGTCTCTGTTGAATGTGAAGGGTTACATGAAAGAATCTCGTCTGTCTGGCCCTCTCTGCGATTCACAGAGGGCCCGCTATAGTAACTGAACGAGAGAGTAATGTCAAATGGCAGTACAATTGACCAATCATATCTTCCCTCTAAATGGGTGGGTTTTATTATTGCGGACTTTATGACAAGTTCCGCCCGCTGTGAAACTTTTCTTGTTTCCATAGCAACAACAACTTCCTGTCAACAGCGTGAACTCGCCTTCAAAATAAAAGCATGCCAAATTACACTTAAGACATACAACTGCAACGAAAGTAACAAACACAATGCAATATCATTTTCAATGTCAAAGAACACAAATTGGGTTCACAGGTGTTGTTTTGTGTGGTAGAGGGTCGCTGTCATTGATGCGTTTTGCACCTTGGGCCGTTGTTTTGATATTCCGCTGAAGTATACGCTGTGACGTAATACCTCTTTTTTTTTCTTTTTTTCGAGGGAATTGGTGGGGGTCAGAGGGCCTACAGTAGGTATAAAGCTCACGGCTCGCCACTGTTGACTAGTTAATAATACATCCTATTCATGTAGATGTTCTCATTACCAGTCAACCTGCATTGCTCCTATTCTGCTACTTGGTTTCTTTCAGCATGCAGGTATGTCAACAAGGGCAAAAACAATCAATGCTTCCTTAATGATGGGTCGATACCAATATCTCTCTCCAATTGGCTTGATATAAACAAGTGTTGCCTGTTTGTGAGTCATAGTTTAATCAGAATGAAGATGGGATGATTTGCCAATGGTAAATGAGTGCACATTAAAACCTCACTTAAATAAGCAGAGCAAAAATGTGGTGTGACCGCATTATTAAATAGTCTTAAGGCTGATCACACCCATAAAACCTTGGTTGTACATAAACATGAAACTGTTGCGATGTAAACTATATAATTGGGAGAAATGTGTGTAAGGTGAATGAGGACATATTTTTGTTACAACATGACTACATTGAGATCAAATTCAATTCAGTCAATAACCACAATGTCAACACATTAGTCTCCTTTAGTTCTGTTGCTATTTGCTAAGATATTAAACAATTTGTTTCCATCTTTATAGTAGGCTTAAAACTGTTCTTGATCTTTCATATAAGACACACATACTCACACCAATAAAAGTGACCTTGGTCTGCATTATATAAGCACTGTATAGGCTCCTGACACATTCACAGATAAGGCAGAGACCTAAATAAAGGCTGCCGTGTGTAATCTGCATGTACAGGAGTTGCTGAGCAGCAACATTAAACAGAAAGCAACACGTATCCTGCTTCCACAGCTGACAAACTGACATTTGCCTGGCATGTGAACATTCTCAAACACAAGCCTTTATCTACATTGTTTACATGCCAATGCTGTTAAACTATTCCTGCCAAATATAACATGATTATATAGGATTCAAACATATGCTACTGTGAACACCGTCTTGGCATCATGAGCCAAAAATAAAAAGGGCTTTTGATGTAACGAGAAGCTTCAGACACAGACGCTGCAGATTGTCAAAAGAATAAAAATAACTGTAGCCGGTTCTGATTCCTCACCTTGACTGCAACGCCACTGGTATCTGGAAACTCCAGGAGATGGTAGCTGAGGTCCTCCACCCTGTTGATGTAGACCCTTACATCTGAAGCCCTGCGGAGAGCCTGAACCAGACCCCGAGTTCGATTGTCCACACTCACCCTGGCAATGATCTAGGAGAAAAAAAACAAGTTAGGTCCAGCAAGTAAGCATTAGCTGGTATCAAAATTAAGAAATCATGATTATTTATATTTTGTATATAACTGAGTTACTAATGTATGTTCTTATTGTCATTTTATTCCTTGCTTTTCTAACTCCCTTGACAAATATGAGAACTAGCAGTTGGAACATCAATACATTTTCAATATCTATAAAAAACACTAACTTACAATCCCCAATATGACTGGCATCATGTTTATGACAAACAGAGCTTGACATGGGCCAGACCCAGAAAAGTAACTTTTAAGCTCCAATCCACTCAAATACTTTGAATATATATTGACTGTATATAATAAAATATTTGTGTAGAACAATAATTGCTTGCGCAGCATATTTCTATATTGTAATAATAACATTTATGGTTACAACATCTATAAAAAGTATCTTGGGCAACAGTAACACCCGACAGCTTAAAGGTGAACCAGTTCCTAAAATCCAAATTGGTTAATTTATTAACAAAAGTATGAAAAAGCTGGCAGTAAAGTTCTGTTATCTTTATAGAATACTGTCAGCAGACATGTACCTTTTCAGTGGGCTTGTCTTTAACCATATTTTCCTACCTAACAACATGAACTGAGCTAAAAACCACATGACATTCATCTGTATAACATGAGCCAGTGGACATGAATCATTTTCCGGCTATCTCCAACATAACATATTAGAAGTTCCCATTTCAATACCCAATCCAGCTTTGACATTAACTGAATGTCAGGTGTGTTTATGGCTATACAAAAAGAAAGCATGGCTTGGCCTGTAACGTAAACACCTTCTGGGGCCCTCTATCTCCACAAGGAGTTATTTTTGAAAACAGTTTCCAAGAAGTCAGGCACATGTCAGCACACTGAACTACCCTTGGACATATAGAGTAGCAATAGCTCTGGTCAAAGTCTAAACAGTAGGCCCCCTCCTATACCAGATACTGAGAACAATCTCATGTGGGGATTAAGTTTCACTCAAACCTAGACACAACCTTTTGTAGACGTACCTTCTCCCTTTGAAGCTGAAGTTTATTGGCTTTCTCCTCTGCAGACTTCTTCTCCTTACTAACTGTGGCCTCAACCTGTTTGACCGGTGCTTCCTCAGACTTCTTTACCTCCACAGCAGCACTTTTGGAGTCTGCTGCCCTAAACCTTGGGACCAGGGGAGCAATGTAGCTTCCTACAAAGGCTTGTACAGTTGGAGCTGAGTAGGACAGGTAGTGTCCTAAACCCTTCTTAGGAGGTGGGATAACTGTAGCAGCAGAGGCTGGTTTATCAAACACTGGTATGAGCTCTCTAGTTTGTCTACCCTGAGAGGAAGCAGAGGAAAAGTCAACATTGTCCCTTTTCTTATCCTGAGTGTTTGTACTGCTGCCAAAGTATGTGTTGATGTGATGGGCCAGGTAGTTGTAAGTGTCATCCAGGTTTACTGAGAAGGTGCTGGGGTGGAAAAGTGCTATGGGTTGTTTGGAAGTTGCGCTGTTGATCTCAGTTTCACCTGGTGAAAGTTTAAGCTCCTCTTGCTTCCTGGCAGGACTGGCTTTGACTGCGGGAACAACACGTCTCACCCTTTTCTCCTTAGGCACAGTCAGGATTGTGCCTGTGACATTCGCTTTGTCAGAGTTGTGGGGATGGGTTGAGGTAGTGGCACTTGCATCAAATGTAGCAGCAGAAGTAGGAATAGAAGGACTGGCAGGTGATGAGTTACATATTGGTTTGGGTGTAGTGGATGTCGAAGTGGGAGCAGCATTAATAGGAGCTGGAGTAAGCGTGACATCACTCTCCTCAGCTTTGGGCGCTGACTCAACACTTGCCTCAGCCTTGGTTACACCCTTTAATGCATTAGGCTTGAGTCTTTCAATTTTGGAGAGAAGTTCTGTATGCCTCCCACTCACAGCTTTAGAAACTGTGTCCAGTGTGTTCCTGACCCGCGACATGTGTTGGCTGAGACCAGCAGACCACCGAGAGGCAGATGTGTTCAAATTCAAGGTGCTGGTGTGGAGTCCAAGCCTTTGTCGAACCTGGTTAGCTTTACAGAGCCATCCCTTACGCCCAGTGATCCTCAGGTGATGGATGTGCCTCCAGCTGAGATAGCCAACCTTGTAGCAATAAGGCTGTTGTACATGAACCCTGCAGTGAGAGGTGCCACACAAGGGAAGAGATGCTGCTGACTTGCGGGCATGTGTTTGACACAAATGAAATGCTCTGCTTATTTTTACCCAGGTATTTGGTGCCCATTTATGACTCATTCTTTCAGGTCACAAGAGTTCGTACCATCCAAAGCAATATTAGGGCTATGCTCTCCCTTTCATTAACCTGGTGAGAAACAACAACAAATAGTAATGTACATGGAGGAATGAAAAACAGTCACAAACAAAATGATGATAATGGCATAACGTGGGATAAAGCTACTAAAACTGCTCCTAAAACTTGCTCCTAGGTGTGGTTTTGTTTAGATTACAAGTAAAATATCTTCGTTAAATGATCCGGAGGACGACACAATAGCTGACTTAACTTCTACTCAGAATAACATGGTTTAACATCAGCAACTAAGGTTAGCTGTTAGCACCGCTAGCTCCGCTAGCTAACACGTAAATAAACCATAGAAGTCACAATAAACATAGCAAAACATACCTTATTATGTCTCGGTATCAATAACGGTAGAAATCCTTTAATATTCTCATTGAGTTACCATCGTTCGTTAACGTTAACACAGAATAACAACGGTCATTCGACCTGATACATTTCCATAATGGCGTAGGACGTCAGTCAAAAGAAAAACAATGATCACGTGACAGGTAATGTGCTCTGCAATTGGCTGTCTACCACTTGCCCCTCAAAAGCCGTCGGTTGATTGGCTGAGGAATTCTCCCCACCTTTTACTGTAGCAGATGATCGACTTTCAAGTGATACCAGAGTACACCGGACTTCTCCCTGGAAGGCGGAGTTCCCACCAACAACTAGAAATGGAACCCCACCCTACTACTTAACACGCGGGATACACACACAATCAAATGGAGCGCTACGCAAATACTTGGAAATGTAGTGACTACTTTTTCCACAAACGTTATAATCACGTAATCGCAGCCTATATATACCTAAAAAAACACTATGAGATCATAGCATGTATAGATATTTATCTAAGTTAAGTCAGCTATTGTGTCGATAAATATTGATATTTATCAATAGTAAGACTTAGCAAGTAGCTACTACTAGTAGCAGTTAGTTTTTAAAACATCATATCGTTGCTGTAAACATCAGGGTCACTATCGGACAGTCCCACATTACCGGTGTTGTGTCAAATTATGCACCCCCATCATGAAATGCCCCCCTTGTCACGGGAAAGCGCATTTCTAAATGACACGTTTACACCTTAAAACGATGTTTAAAGCGAAAAGTAAACGTTCAGGGTTTTTATTAATGGTAATTTTCAGACTGTGAGTTGTTTAGTGGTAGCTCATATAGTCTTGATTCTTGTGGTTATACTTTTCGCTCCGTATTTGATGGTAGTGGTGTCGAAATTCATTCGTCACTTTCCTTTTTTTTTTAATTATTGTTACGTCCTGTCTGTATACACGTGCTTTAAAATGTATTGTTTAATTTTACATATTTGTCATAATAATCAAAATATATGTTTACAAATGTTACATAGTCTTTGTCAGCATATTTTTGCCACGTTATGCACCCCTTGCTATCTTACAAAATAAAAGTGTCACATTCATGAAACTTGCTTTATTCATTGGTACTAGTCCTACAACTATACCCTGAAAAATGCTTGAGGGTGGGATTAATACAAACATCTTTTTGGGTGGTGTTAGAAGTATTCGATGTTCTCGCGCCCAGGAGAGGAGCTTAGAATGAAGAGACTAATGGAGTCTCCGAAAAGGTTCAAATTGGTTGAGTTTAATTAAATGGCACGATGATACAACAAGCAGAGGGTAAGAGGAGAGACAGAGCAGCTGTTGCCTCGCCGGGGTGAAGGGGTGAAGTCCCGTGGTGAAGAAGAAGAAGTGCTGTCCAGCTAAATCTCAGTCGTGACCCCTCCTCATCAATGGTGGGCGGTGACGTAGGGAGGGAACTTCCCTCCTCTTTCTCATTGTCTTAGTTTCTCTGATTAGGTCATCTCTCTGAGAGTGAATCTTAAATGTATGTGTGATCAACAGTCGCTTTTTTAGGGGGTGAGGTTTTGCATACTGTGTCTGTGTATCAGCTGCTACGACAAAGCTTACTGTGCGTTTAAACTAAATTACGTCATTGAATATTGATTTTAATTTCTAACAATCCCTCCTTTCACACCTTTTAAGGTGTGTGAACACAATACTGAAATCAATGAGTTCTTCATAAGACAGCTTTTAAACTGACGGTATGTTTTCTAAATTATGCTATAAAACATTGATTTTAATTTCTAACAGTGGGGTGCATTTTATGACAGGCCTGGTTATCACAATATGCCCCCCCTTGCTATCTTACAAAATAAAAGTGTCACATTCATGAAACTTGCTCCATTCATTGGTACTAGTCCTACAACTATACCCTGAAAAATGCTTGAGGGTGGGAATAATACAAACATCTTTTTGGGTGGGGTGCATTTTATGACAGGCCTGGTTATCACAATATGCCCCCCTTTGCTATCTTACAAAATAAAAGTGTCACATTCATGAAACTTGCTCCATTCATTGGTACTAGTCCTACAACTATACCCTGAAAAATGCTTGAGGGTGGGATTAATACAAACATATTTTTAGGTGGGGTGCATTTTATGACAGGCCTGGTTATCACAATATGCCCCCCCTTGCTATCTTACAAAATAAAAGTGTCACATTCATGAAACTTGCTCCATTCATTGGTACTAGTCCTACAACTATACCCTGAAAAATGCTTGAGGGTGGGATTAATACAAACATCTTTTTGGGTGGGGTGCATTTTATGACAGGCCTGGTTATCACAATATGCCCCCCCTTAATATCTTACAAAATAAAAGGGTCACATACATTAAAACAATATTGGATGATAGTCATTATTTTGGAGTGTTTTGGAGATGGAGATAAATCATGGGTCAAAATTGACCCGAGAACACCATGAACGGTAACAGCTTTCGAACACAACACAAGGGTTAAAGATGAATATGACATGTTGTTCACACTGATTTAGATTGATTACCATGTCACTGGACTCTAATCTTCAAAATGAATGTTTATTTTATGTGTGATAATGTACACAATTTTAGTATGGATAATATGTCACTTTATTTCTATATTTCATTCAACATGTATTATTAATTACTGTGTGTATGTAAATGTGTTGGACAATTGCAGGACTAGCCCTCACTCCATATTTGTTTTATTTCTGACTCGGATGATAAACCAGGCCTGTCATAAAATGCACCCCCCCCCCCCCCAAAAGATATATTATATTAATCCCACCCTCAAGCATTTTTCAGGGTATAGTTGTAGGACTTGTACCAATGAATGGAGCAAGTTTCATGAATGTGACACTTTTATTTTGTAAGATAGCAAGGGGTGCATAACGTGGCAAAAATATGCTGACAAAGACTATAACATTTGTAAACATGTCATAAAATGCACCCCACCCAAAAAGATGTTTGTATCAATCCCACCCTCAAGCATTTTTCAGGGTATAGTTGTAGGACTTGTACCAATGAATGGAGCAAGTTTCATGAATGTGACACTTTTATTTTGTAAGATAGCAAGGGGGGGCATATTGTGATAACCAGGCCTGTCATAAAATGCACCCCACCCAAAAATATGTTTGTATTATTCCCACCCTCAAGCATTTTTCAGGGTATAGTTGTAGGACTAGTACCAATGAATGGAGCAAGTTTCATGAATGTGACACTACACACTTTTATTTTGTAAGATAGCAAGGGGGGGCATATTGTGATAACCAGGCCTGTCATAAAATGCACCCCACCCAAAAAGATGTTTGTATCAATCCCACCCTCAAGCATTTTTCAGGGTATAGTTGTAGGACTTGTACCAATGAATGGAGCAAGTTTCATGAATGTGACACTTTTATTTTGTAAGATATTAAGGGGGGCATATTGTGATAACCAGGCCTGTCATAAAATGCACCCCACCCAAAAAGATGTTTGTATCAATCCCACCCTCAAAAAACTGAAAAGGAAGTGATGAATGAATTTCGACACCACTACCATCAAATACGGAGCGAAAAGTTTAACCACAAGAATCAAGACTATATGAGCTACCACTAAACAACTCACAGTCTGAAAATTACCATTAATAAAAACCCTGAACGTTTACTTTTCGTTTTAAACATCGTTTTAAGGTGTAAACCATAGTGTAAACGTGTCATTTAGAAATGCGCGTTCCCGTGACAAGGGGGGCATTTCATGATGGGGGTGCATAATTTGACACAACACCGGCATTGACCAACAGAGGGCAGAAGCGCACTAACCTGCACTTACTCTGATGCAATGTAGTCATCGAAGAAGACATGGAAATGATGCTGCTTCTGACCGCTGCTTTTTTTTCCATAACACTCACTTAAACTAAAAACTGGACACTGTCATGTTTAGCGTTGGATACATAGTTTGATAGGCAGCCCTGCAACACACCAGCTAAGCAGGACGTGGGTCTATTTTAACGGTGAGTTTGGGTTTAAAAGAAAGGAGAGAAACGAAGTGGGCAGTGCCCTGTGTTAGCAACGTCAGCTAACGTTAAGGGTGACGGCCGTGACGGCTGATGTCTATGAAAACATGGCGGTGAAACTATCAATATAACGTTAAAACTATCTTACAATAACTGCGACTCAGTGGTAATTCATCATTCAAGGTAATGTATGTTGCCGAAGTTATTAGAATGTAAGGCACATGTTATTGTGGTATAACATGTAAATTCATTAGTCAAAGCTTATGCACAAGAAGATATAAAAACAATACATTTGGACTCAATCGTTTTACTGTCATTTTGTAAGTTTAAAATAGCTAATATTGCAATGTCATGTTTCTAAGATATTTACTATTGTATGTTGTCTATGGCTACTTGCTAAGTTGCCTTCTTCTCTTATGTATAAACACAAATTAACTCATTACCACTCTCTTTTTTATACATGCATACATTTTAACTTCCATTTCTCTTCAATGCAGGGGGCATCAGAGCTATGGCAACTGCACAGTCGGCTGTAACGTTTGCAGTGTGCATCCTCATGATAACAGAGCTAATACTTGCCAAGAAGGACTATTATGATATACTGGGAGTGCCTAAAGATGCTACTGAGCGACAGATAAAAAAAGCTTTCCACAAGCTTGCAATGAAACATCACCCAGATAAGAACAAGAGCCCAGACGCTGAAGTGAGATTCAGAGAAATCGCTGAAGGTACAGATAAATCTATCTTTCTTGTTTTGGTGGGATAATTGTATTGTTTTGTTACATAATGGAATGATATTCCATTGTGTAGTGTTGCGTGATCCAGTGTGGACGATAATGATAAATCTTTCTCAGCTTCAATTCAAGAACTCTGAAGGATGAATATGCTGAGAGCTCGCACATTTCCTATTACGCTTTTCATGTACTTGGATGCATGGGCGTAGGAAGCATCCTCATTGTGGGTGGGACAATTTGACAGGGGGGTCCGGGGGCATGCTCCCCCGGGAAGATTATTTTTTTTAAATGCATCAATCTGCTGCACTTTGAGAGCAAAATTAGGGACTAAATCTATGGATACATTTCTCAAAAACACCCTTGTGAAACAGAACTGTAAACAGATTAACTTTTTCTTTATGCATATTTTACAAATAACTCCCCTTTTAAACGGTATTCTTGTGTTACTGTCCTATAGAATGAGTTGGAATTATTTCATACCTGTTATTCTCTTATTTTGTATAATGATCATATAAAAGGTGTGCCTTGGAAATACTTTACATAAATGATTACCAAACCATTTGAGACCCACTACTTAGACTAAAGTTAACTATCTAAACACTCAGAGAGTCATTTACCTCACTAAGCTGTAGTTATCAGCCTCTCAGTCTGACAGGAGAGGACTCTCCCTCCACCTCTCAGAGAGTCCTTTACCTCACTGAGCTGTAGTTATCAGCCTCTCAGTCTGACAGGAGAGGACTCTCCCTCCACCTCTTTAATAAGAGCGCCTTATATCCGGGTGCTAGTGGAGCACGCTCGTGAACTGTTAGCGCCAGAGCCTCGCAGCGGGGAAACTGGCGCGCATAATTTTAGAACTACAGACACAGCTACACAAAAAACGAAGCATGTGTACGGGTCATGTGTATGGCTCTGAGAATCTGCCTTGGTACAAAGTAGCAGTGAAAACAGGGTATGGAATTTTATTGATTTGGGCATTCTCTCAATAAGCAAGTGGAATGGATTTGATAATGAAGCACTGACACAGCACTCTACAGAGAGTGGCGAGTGGATAGACCGATTCACGGACTTTCCGCATTGTAAAAGTGGGGGGGTCTAAACTAATCATTTTAAAAGGTGGGGGGGACTTGTCCCACCCTCATATAATGGCTATATGCGTAGATGGGACTTTTTAGAAATGTTGATGAGATGCTAATCCAACCTTGACTGAATTATGTCTTCCTTTTCACAGTTTATGAAACGTTATCAGATGAAACCAGAAGAAGAGAATATGACCAGTTTGGTGACACCTCTGCATATTTCACTGGGGAGACGCAAGGCAGACATAGACAGGGCGCACACCAACCTTTCAGCTTCAACTTTGATGACATTTTCAAAGACTTTGACATCTACAGCCAGAACAGGCATGCCCGTCATCGAAGACACTTTGATGAACACTCCAGGACCCACAAGGAGTCCCACAGTAGACATAAGAGACGCGTTCAAGGAGGTTTTGGAGCAGGTATCTTTGATGATATGTATGAGGACATAGAGAAAATGTTTACCTTTGACAGCACCAAACAGACTGACAACAGGTTTCATGGTGCATCAAAACAACACTGTAGAACAGTGACACAACGCAGGGGAAATATGGTAACCACATACACAGACTGTACTGCATCTTAAGATGCAATGTGAAATGACTCAAAGTTGTCCAAATGGCATACAAAACTGTTGTATCCATTAGGTAACATAAAGCCACTTGGTTCAAATGCTGTGAAATGTGAGCGATGACATTGATATCTGACATTCAGGCACAGTTAACATCAGTTTACTTATTTTAGGTCTAAAAAGCTATGTTTTCTTAAAGCTATTCCTCTTGTGTGGTGCTCATGGACTTGTACATGATTGTAGTAGTTTTTCACGTATTGTGAAATAACCTGACGGAGTATTTTGTCGATCATTTTAAGCACCTTTTGATAGTGGAACTGGTTAAGTTTAATGTTTGGAGAAACATTTTTGTTAAAGAAATACTCGTGTGTCAGTAATTCACCATTTCTATTATGTGTATTTGTTTAGATTTGAGTGTCTTTTGTATAGGTTTTGTCATTGTTGGTTTCAAACCACAACTCAAGGTACAAACAATAGCCAGTGGATTTCTGCTTATGTCAGCGTTGTCAACACAATCCTCTGACCCTCCACAAGCTGGCTAGTTTTACTCTTTAACTTGTTTGTGTTACATCTTGTTTAAATATTCATTCATTCTACACTTCCAGTCATTTTTGAACAAACTATATTTTTAAATGTGTTGTATTGAGTGCATTTGTAAAGAAAGTTACACATTTGTAAATATATGTAAATATTAGTAGTAAAGAGGTATAAGTAAATAGATAAATGTTTTTGACTCCAGCCTATCTTTATAAATAAGTGTGAAGCCTACGCTGTTCTGCTGTGGTATTTTGAGTTACTCAAAGTGGCAGAGGACATCTAGATTGAGGTCATCTTTCATCATCAAAAAAATACAACAATTTCTGTTTTCTTGATGAGTATTTAATATACATTTCCAATTACCATGGTTAAAAATCAACCGGACATGCTAAAATATAAATAAATACCTCTGACTGGCCCGGCAGGCAAACTACAAAGAGTGTTCTCTGTAAACTAACACAAGCAGACTACAGCACATAGGTTTCACAACATCAGATTGTACTTGTCACAAGGTTTATTTTTTTATATTCCAATTTTAAAATATTTGTTTCAAATGTACACTGCATACTGTTTTCGTTCCATTACATCTTATATTTGAACTAGTCACAATAAAGTGCTCCTTTTACACCGTTGTGTACAATGTTTATCTCCAATAATGATAGTACTTGAAAAATTCAAAGGCACTTTCGATTTTGTATAAAATGTCTTTTGAAAAATAAAAAGTAGATACCAAACTGAAATTCCTTTGGTTTGAATTATTTGGAAGAGTATAATGTTAACATCATTCTGCCTCGTATTTATTTTAATACTTTCTCGACCGTTTAAAAAAAAGAAAAAATTCAGATAATACTTATTTTTATATTGGTTATTTGTTAAGGACCAAAAACAACATTTAAAAAACATTGTTACCTCAGAAATAAGTATTTTCTTATAGATCAACTTTGAATTCATTGTAAAATACATAATTATTAACCAAAATGAAGGGTTGTTGGTCGACAAAATACAATAAAATGAGCAGATATCAGTATATGATTTTTACCTTAGTATTGGCCTCAACAGAAAATGTCAATGTCAGATAGACTGTAATATTAACTTTACATTGTTGAAGCACTTATTATATCGATTTGTAGGATTTGAAGGTGTGCCTTACTCGATGACTATTTCAAGGGTTTTACCATAGACTGTATATATAAAGGGTTTTACTTACAAATATTTTGATACTCACCTTAGTTACGGTTGCGTAGAGGAAAAAATATTTCCTTTCTTTCCATTGGTGGACACGAGCATGATGTCATCCGTAGGGAATGTAGTTCAGCAAAAGTCAATCCACGATGATAGGAATGCCGACCGGGTCTCTAGTGAACTCCAACTCCCATGATTCAACTCTGAGCAACTGTCTGCGTAGTTGTTTGTAGCTCCAAGCGACGCCAGTTGCTTTAGCTTTAGCCATCATTGAATGACTTTGTCCCCCTGTGCAGCAGCAGGGTATAGAAAGGTGGCTATTTGACAGGTCGGGAGCATTATCGGAGCTAATGGAGGCCCTCATTCCTGTCATTAACAAACTGCAGGATGTGTTTAACACGGTGGGCGCGGATATCATCCAACTGCCGCAGATAGTTGTTGTGGGAACTCAGGTGAGAAACACTTTGCTTTAGGGCTAGCAGGTTAGTTAGCCTGCGCCAAGTTATGGTTTTAGCTTCTTCTGGTATGGAAACCTCAGTTTTTCTTTCACTTTCATGCAGATGTGGTAGACATTACTGTGTAGACTGACTTTACATAAACTCCGCCTTTTTTAATCTAGGATAATTTATTTAGTGGCTAAATTAGCATTAGCTAGCTACATGTGATCTCACTTAAGAGTTGTGTGGCTAGCAATGTTTTTAGCTGACAGTTGGGGCACTAATAATAACCCATTTAAAGTTTTCCTTCAGATCCTAAGCTTATAAGGTAATTCTTAGCTATAGGATAATCACTATAACTCGAAAAATTACGAACACCTCTCGGTATAAAACAACAACAATAAACGGCACCATGAACTGCTAATGACCATGGCGTTCAATTAACACCTTGCTTGTCTAATACACCTGCCCCGTCCACCTTACTATCTATATGCACACATTAAAGCTAATTGGGTTAAAGTGGCAGCTTTTGTCTAACACATTTATTTTCACTGCTCTGCTAATAGGATGTGTCTGTCTCAGACCTGTTGGCATGTATCTGATTCTGTTACAGTGAGACAACACAGCCACAGAGTGTTTAAAATGCCTGGGCTCTACAAAGGCCCAGATCGGCAAAGACCTTCAGTTAGGACAGCTGTAACTGAGACCTGAAGCCAAGTATTTGTTATCCATGTAAGGTCTATTAATAGGCCCATCCTATATCAGTCTAAACAAAGTTACTGCTAAGGAGGAAGTCACTGATTACATGTTTAGCCCTTTATACATCCTTGGTTAAGCCTCAGTCTACGATTGAGAAAATCAGTACCAGTCTAATAAAGAGGTATCAATTCAAAACCTTTATTTATCCAGGTGAAATCCCATTGAGATCATTGATCTCTTTTTCAAGGGAGACCTGCAGCAGTAGGTTCCACATGAAGACATACAAACATAAACAACAGAACAACAAAAGGACATCATCCCGCAAAAATGACAGGGATTACAATTTACATATCTATCCACATGTACAGGTACCAACAGCATCTGATTGTGTAGCGTCCAACCGAGCTTTAAAAACATGTAGTGGTACCAGATTGGTAATTTTCCATTCTTTTTGCAGACTGTTCCAAGTTAGTGGAGCTGCACATCTAAAAGCTTTTCTTCCCTAAGACAGTCCTATATGCTTGCCAAGTCAGGTATTCCAGTTAACTAGGTCTAATTAGGATTTATTATGCCACCCATATCAATAAACCAGACAGTCTTCCTAGCTTCTTAGCTGCACTGTGAATGAAAACTGTACCAAGGACTAAATAGACCTTGTCTCCCCCGGATGCAGCTACGGTTCCAGAGTTCCGGAAATTACCAGCACTGATAACGGGTTAAATAATATTCAAAGTAACACACAGGAAAAATATCGTCGAAGACATTCAAGCTCAGCACAGCCTGTTTTTTTCTGAATCTGCACAATGGAAAGACTGTTTTTTTTTCATCCACGAGTCATTCATACTCCCGTCCCCCTCTAACGTTTATGTTGTTGTTTTTGTCTACAGAGCAGTGGGAAGAGTTCAGTTTTAGAGAGCCTGGTGGGCAGAGACATCCTGCCACGTGGAACTGGCATCGTCACACGCCGGCCTCTTATCTTGCAGCTAGTGCACATCGATCCAGAGGACCGCAGGAAAACCAATGAAGAGAATGGTAACATCACCGTCTCCTGTGTTTTTCTGTATCTGTGGGGTTGTTGCACATTAAATTTGAGTCATTTAAATTCAGCAGTCTGCCTTCTGTACTATACTTCACTGTAAGTGTCCAAAAGCATTTGTCTTTAATAAGATTTAAAGTGGACCTATCATGCTACATTTGAATAATATATTGTAGGGTCATACCTAAATAAAACATGTCTGAAGTTTTTTTTTCAAAATACCAAACAGATCATACATTTTAGCCATGCCTCATTTCGCTCTATTTGCACTTTTTTAGCCCTGTTTTTGCAAGGGCTGATTCTGTGAGAACAGCCGTGGCTGTCTCCTCCTGATAGGTGGAGAGTTGCCCATATAGGCGGAGCTCCTCGTTCCTGACGTCAGTGAAGTGTTCAAATCTGGATCAGTTTTTATCAGATCTGTTGCAGCCCCGTTTTTAGAGATTTGGGTATGGAGGAAAATAGAGAGGGTTGTGTTTTCTGACACTTGGTGAGTTCCCTGGAACACCGGGGACACATATTCATGTATAAAAGACGTACAAAAGTGCATTTGGCATGATAGGTCCCCTTTAAATATAAGGTTTTAAACAAGGGACATTATTTAATTTACTAAGGGATGTTTTGTTTTTTTATTGTGAAAGACCACCAAGCAGTTTAACTGAGCACTATTGCTTCAGTTAAAAAACATTGGGAAGCTGTGCCAAGATTTGCATCCTCCATGCCGTCCTCTGGGAATGGCTTTAGCGTGATGCTGCAGTGTCACAGAGGGGCTGCAGATAGACAGGCTAACCCTTTTGTCTCCTTTGATCTCTCTTTAACCACAGAATCAAAGAAAAATGGACGCCTTAACAGAGGTCTCCTTTTCCTTGCTCTTTGCGATATTGTGTTTGCAATTACATAACATCCCCTCATTATGCCCCCTCCTGCTTTGCATTGTTGTGGCTTGTCCAAAGCTGCCAAACCATTGTAGATTCACTTGATTCAGCTCAAGCTCTCCACTCGATTTAGGCTGGTGTCTGTCAGTCTAAGTTCCTGCTCAAAATACTTGTTTTGTGCTAGGATTTTACATTTTAAAAGTCCACCTATGGCTCATATGGTGTCTTCAAATACCAACTTCTTTTAACCTGTTAAGCCCCAAAGCCCCCGTCGGCGGGTCTTTTTTTTTTCACAAATAAAATTTATTTATTTTTTATTATTTAATTTTTCTTTGGATGGAATGAATACCTATGGTGATAATTCAATGCAATACACCATTTTTATAGTCTGGTACCTGAAAAAGGTGAAATGGCACTGATGGAACCAGATGTACCCAAATGTGCCGAAAGCTTATTCCGCCTGGAACTTTTTTTCCCTAAATCTCTCTTAAAAAGGTCAAATTTAACTTGTTTTGCCTCAATCTTGATACAGGGTACTTATTATATGTTATAGTTTGGATTCCTAAAGCTTTTAGTCTACCATCCCATCATTCAAGGGTGGTTTTCACTATAAGTAATGTTTTGTCTTTAGGCGGAGGTAAGAATTTACCTTTTTTTGCTATGTTCCATCTGAATTTACTCTGACTGAGAACAATCTATATTGATTCTGACACTTCTACATCCAACTCACAGATGTAACCTTGCTTTGATAAAAGAAATTATTCATATAACCCTTTTAGAAGTGAAGTTGTAGTCATTTGTTTTGGGCATGTCATTTTCGAGCCTGAAACCTGCAAAACAGGCTCGGGGCATAACAGGTTAAGATGACTCACAGACTCCACCTATGTAACTTTTCCCTTGTTTTCATTGCAATGTTTATGATTATTGCAGCTGAAATAAGAGCTTTGTTTGTTAAAGGCTCTCTACACTAGATCCCTGCTTCCCTAAATCCACATGCTTTTTCTTTCCTGAGGCTTTTATTTGCTTCCACTGCTGCGGAACAGTTGTTCCACTGTTATAGTTTTTATTTGTACTATTCAGCTGTGGATCTTTCTCTGAAGAGTTGTTCCATCCCATCATTGCCAGCAGAGAAATCCTCCCATGAGATGTAGCATTAGTAATAATAGTAACACTGATCTCCAGGCCACATCTGTCACATCCGTAACCACAACATCTGTCCTCAACTTTGTATTTCTGCAGGCATCGACGGAGAAGAATGGGGCAAATTTCTACACACCAAAAACAAGGTAGAGTTGTACTTGCAGTCTTGTCTGCCCCAAAACAATACTCTCAATGAAGTCTGCCTCCACAAAACATCTAATTAAGGAATAAACTGCACTTGATCTGGAATTCCCTTGCTCTATACCTCGTTTTGTTTCTGTTGAGGACATTCTGTGGTTTTGTGGTATCTTTATAACATTTCACTCACTCTCTCTGTAGCTACAAATATTAGTGTGGCTGTCGGGTCAATGTCCTCCAAGGTTGAATTGTGTCTCTTCATCTCCTTATAGTTAATTATGTTTGAACAAAGATCCCTTTTGATGATAGCCCCATGACACTAAACAGGAAAACAAACCCAGTCATGTTCTGTTTTTTCTCACACCGTGTTGCTATTGTTGTTATATTGGAGTCTTACTTTCATGGTTTAATTTTCTTACAGATCTACACAGACTTTGAAGAGATCAGGCAAGAAATCGAAACGGAAACAGAAAGGATTTCCGGCATTAACAAGGTATGCTAAATGCGGCCATAACAAAGGGAATAAGTTGCCAAACAAGAAATGGTCTATTGACAAACTGGATGATCTCTTAATATCAGCATAATAATCCATGATGAGTCTTTTAAGCAATATCAGCCTGTAAGAGTTATCATCTTTTTGGTTTGTTTTTTTCTCCAGGGTATCAGTGATGAACCCATTCACCTGAAAATCTTCTCCCCACACGTTGTGAACCTCACATTGGTGGACCTTCCTGGCATTACGAAGGTGAGATAGGTTTCCCTTTCACTTCCCCGTGTCCCAACCTGAGTGAACATTAACTCAAATAATCCTGCAATCAGATACCTTTCATTCGAGTCAATGAGTGTGTATTTGTTAAAACAGTTGCCAGTGGGAGACCAGCCCAAAGACATAGAGGGTCAGATCAGAGAACTGATCTACAAATACATCTCCAACCCCAACTCCATCATCCTGGCTGTGACTGCTGCAAATACAGACATGGCAACCTCAGAGGCCCTTAAAGTATCCCGCGACATTGACCCTGATGGTAAATGGACTTCTTGTTTATCCCTTATTTTCTTCCGTTGCTTTTCCTGAGGTTTTTATCTGCTGTTAAAGGTTTTTCCTGATCCGAATCTAGGGCTTAACAACAGCAGGTGCCGTATGCAGTCCAGATTTTATAACGAAAAGTAACTTGACTCGTTGCATTTCCTGCCTCAGTGTTGTTTTTGTTGACCTGTTTATGATGACTTTGTCTCTAGGCAGGAGGACGCTAGCAGTGGTGACCAAGCTGGATCTGATGGACGCCGGCACAGATGCCATGGATGTATTATTGGGCAGGGTCATTCCTGTCAAACTGGGCATTATTGGAGTAGTTAACAGGTAACGCTGCACTTTTGTGCTACATTAGTTTTAACCCTTGTGTTGTGTTCGAAAGCTGTTACCGTTCATGGTGTTCGCGGGTCAATTTTGACCCATGATTTATCTCAGTCCAAAACACACACAAAAAAAATGACTATCATCCAATATCGTTTTAACTACATCATAACTAACTTATAATGCATTCATAACCGTACAATCCTGTTGTAATTTAATGTTATGGCCCAAAACACATTACACACGTGCATGTGTGAGTTCAGGTTCAAGTGTTAGTGTACATATTCTTTGAGAAAGGTCGAGTTCCCGTGGGGGGAGGGGGGCAGAGAGAGGGGAGACCAGATGCATGTTGTGAAAAATTATTGTTACAGTGTATGAAGGGGGGGGGGGGGGGTGTGTCTAAAGTCAAAGATTAATCTTGATAGAGAGGCGAAGTCCCGCCCATCTACTTCCGACTCATGGGACCTTATTTCATAAAAATTATGTATTGAAGTCAATGGGGAGAGAAAGATGATCTTTCTATCGAGACAGGAGATGTAGTTCATTGAGCGGTTTCACACAAAAAAAGTGTTACTTCACAGTTTTACGACACATTTTTTTTTGACTTGCAAAATTATCTTTTAAATTGACAAACATCATATGTGTAATTCGTGGCACAATTCAAACGGGATAGAAAGATAATCTTTCTCTCTCCATTGACTTCAATACATACTTTTTCCGAAATAAGGTCCCATGGAGGTCAACCGGAAAGGGAAGGACTTCGCCTCTCTATTGGGCCGAATTTGACCTCGAGTCACCCAAAACAATTCTGCTGGGTCTCCCCAGACCCCAACACCAAATTATACACTTTTATTTTTAGAGACTTTCAGACTTGGCTAAAATTGTCAAAATCAGTTTTGTAGTGTTTATATAGCTGTTGTGGAGGATATCATGAAGCCTTGTTCCGATACAAAAAACTAGAGCGTAGTTATTATATCATTTTAACTTGAAACGGGTCACGGGAGACCCGAACACAACATAAGGGTTAAAGGAAGAAGTAAGCGGGGAACAACGGAAGGAACAAACTAACTTTGAAAAAATAATAATACAAAGATGGAGACAATATGCCAGGACACAGAACCAACATGATTTAAAACAAATGTATACAATACAGAGCCTCCCTGAAGGTCAAATCATAGCTTGTGATCTGGAAACTTCCCTCTAATTTCTTACTTTGTTGCTTCCGGGGCTTCCTTGTTTTGAGTTATTTCTAACATTAGATGTTCATACCACACAACCTCGGTAAAACATGTAATTATTTCCACCAGATTTCCACACAACATAATCACCTTCATCTGGGAACTGTTTCCTCTTTTCTTGTGTCTGCACTTCCTCAGGAGTCAGTTGGATATCAATCAGAAGAAGTTGGTGGCAGATGCCGCCCGTGATGAATATGCCTTCCTACAAAAGAAGTATCCCTCCCTTGCAAACCGAAATGGTACCAAATATCTCGCCAGAACATTGAACAGGTGAGAAGTTTGAATTGATCAAATATTTTATTTATAAATATTGAATTAGCTACACAATTTTCTATTTGGCTAATGAAATGTTTGAGTCACTTATTGATCTTTTTTCCTTTGAGGTTTACTATTTTTCTGTCAAAGTGGAAAATAAGACCTAATCTTTCATGTCAAAGTACTGCTGTTCTATAACAAGTCCCCCTCTTTGTTTCCCATCAGCATCTAAACTGATCACTTTCATTTGATCCCAGGTTACTCCTGCACCACATCAGAGACTGTCTCCCCGAGCTGAAGACGAGGATCAACGTGCTGGCAGCGCAGTACCAGTCGTTACTCAACAGCTACGGTGAGCCTGTGGAGGACAAGAGCTCCACGCTGCTGCAGCTCATCACTAAGTTTGCCGCAGAGTACTGCCACACCATAGAGGGCACGGCCAAGTACATCGAGACCACTGAACTGTGAGTTACACAACCGTCACAGCTGCCTTTACTCTCAGACACCACTAAGGGGTGCTAGCATCTATAATATCCTGAGTGCTCAAGTTTAATATCATTCCCTCTTCTTTTTTCAGATGTGGTGGAGCAAGAATCTGTTATATATTTCATGAAACCTTTGGTCGCACTTTGGAGTCTGTGGACCCTCTGGGAAATCTGACTACCATTGATGTGCTCACAGCTATCAGAAATGCTACGGTGCGTTTCTGCTTTCTCTTTAATTCGGTATCGGTATGAATGAATTGGACCATTAAAGACTCATCATGTCATTGTACTACCACAGGGCCCGAGGCCTGCTTTATTCGTGCCTGAGGTTTCGTTTGAGCTGCTGGTGAAGCGGCAGGTGAAGCGCCTGGAGGAGCCCAGCCTGCGCTGCGTGGAGCTGGTTCACGAGGAGATGCAGAGGATCATCCAGCACTGCAGCAACTACAGCACGCAGGTGAGAAACACGGTCAAACAAGCACACTAGATACTAAAACTCACGGTAGGTAAGGGAATATGACCTAGAATGTATATCACAGTGTTTTAGTTTTTGTTCTACCATGTTTATGGTATTTAAAAAAGCCATAAATCGACCTCTTTTCCCTCTATTGGCAATGTTGTGTTGTGGCAGTACATGACAACGTTTTTTCAACGGTATAACGCCCACCCTAGAACCAGGCGTGCTGTTAATCCACTTGCTGTTGTGTCTGGTCACACTTTGGAATAAAACATCACTGCTGTATCGAATCACTAACAAGCACTTATCGGGGCGGAGTGGCGCAGTGGGCTGTGCGTTTGATCATCAGATCAAGGGGGCGTTGGGGAACTCCAGTTCGAAACCCGCTCCCGCCGCCACTGCGTCAGGCCGTTGTGTCCTTGGGCAAGACACTTCACCTGAATTTGCCCCTGTGGGTATTGTCCACAGTACATGACCATTACATGTTTGTATGATATGTATGTGTAATGTGTATCTGTAAAGCGCTTTGAGTCATTGAAAAGCGCTATAATAAATATAAGGAATTATCAATTATTATAATGACATCTGTTTATCTCTGCAGGAGTTACTGAGGTTTCCAAAGCTCCATGATGCCATAGTAGAAGTGGTCACCTCGTTACTCAGAAAGAGACTCCCAGTCACCAACGAAATGGTGAGGACCTGCTCACACTAAATACTTCAGAGCATCTGTAAGTGACGTTTATGAGCATCCCAGTACATATTAATCAATCTTTTGTGTTCTTCAGGTTCACAACCTGGTGGCCATCGAGCTGGCTTATATCAACACTAAGCATCCTGACTTTGCCGACGCCTGTGGCCTCATGAACAATAACATAGAGGTAAGACAGCGTTAGATTACGACGAATGGAAGATAACTTCACATAGTTATATTAGATTTAAATACAATAACTTTATATTATATTTGCAGCTCCAAAATTATGGTATTGTATTTGGTGGTTTGTGTTCCAGCTTTCGATCAGCAACTATATATCCATAATCCACCAGTTAAAGGAAATACAACTAATGTGTTGTGTTATATTAGCTGTACAATTTACCACATATGGTGTTCTTAGTTTCCATACCTCCTGTGTTTTACGAGCGACTTATCAAGACTTGGCAAACGGCATAAAACACGATTAAACGTGATAGTATATAAAACCATGCTCGTATCTACAACCTATAGAAATGCAAAACGGCGTCAGTTTAGACGTAATTCTGTCCTCCTGCTTACCGCGTCATTTATGAGAAAACATTTCATAACATTAACACAACATATTCGAGGTGGTTTTAAATAGCATATCCGTATTTATTTATTTCTCCAAGTTATGTTTTTGTGTGCACTGAGGAGTCGCAAACAGGCGTTTGTTTAATCATTTAAAGATTGGCTTTAATCAATGTTTGAAAATGAATTCTTCATATTTGATAAATGAGAGGTAACATTTTATTTATGGTATTATTTCCACATATTTCTCTCCATTCTTCCTTCTGCCAACGGTGTCGCAGTTTCTCGTCTCTCCCGTTTGTGTGCTTAGTGCGTACGCATGGGTTAGAGTTTGCGTGGAGGACCGCACATTTCCCGTCAAGTTAGTATTTTATAAATCGCAAACATTGCGTAGAAACTGGCGTACACCATTTTTTGAGCGTACATGTATATCCCTTTATAAATGAGGCCCCAGGTGAAATTTGGGTTTTTATCTTAATAGTGTTTTGTATTGTTTTTACGTCATGTAGGAGAGTTTCTCAGTCTGTGGCTTCTGATCTGGTTTCATCGTCTCCTGTTTTACATTTGTTTCATGTCCTGTCTGTTTTTTATGTATTTATGCTATGTTTTTTATACAGTTGTTGATGTACAGCACTTTGTTCAACTTTTTAAATGTGCTATAGAAATAAAATGGATTGGATTATAGATTCTCTGCTTTGTAATCCTTGAAGATTCCATAGTTAAGATGTTTATAGTTACAAAGTATAAATGAAAATGTGAATGTATATTGTTTGAGACACGGAAAACTACATTTCCTCAAACCTTTTTTCCTTATAGGAGCAGAGACGCAACAGAATGAGAGACCTGCCCTCTGCTGTCCCCAGAGACAAGGTACAGTCAGTCTGCATGATCTGAATATCTTTTTCTTTTTCTAGTAACTCTATTTTTTCCAAGTCTTGAACCTGAAGATTTAGTCCACTTTTGCTTTGAGTCATTAACCAAGTTCCTGCTCACCCCTGCCTGTAGCTCCTGCCAGTTCTCTGTCCACTTTCTCTCTTGATGTTGTCTTTCTCTAGTCCCTTAAAGGCCCGGGTGGGCAGTCTCTCTCTCCCTCTGAGCCTCACGCCCTCGAGGGCGAGGCCGCCAAGGTGTGTCCCGTTCACTCACTGCCCGCCGACATTTTCCATCTGCCCCCCCGTCCCTGCTCAGATCACATTGGAAAGTGTTGTTCTACTTTAAAGTCTCCCAAACCCCTGTTGCAGCAGGCGGTCTGTTCTATGATCCTCTGACAATGCAGTGTGATTTGAAGGGCAAATGAAGTCTGACCTTCACTCTCTACTATCTATACTAACCCTTTTTGCTGCATGCTGATTGCTGCTAACAACATACAACTAATATTATATTGCTTATTATAATAAATTCATACTCATCTGGCATGTGCTGTTTTTGAACATTTAGAAAAAACGTTATTAACCTTGTGAAGAGTTGGCCATATCGAAAAACATTATCACTGAATATTAAATTGTCTAATGAGGAAGCAATAGAGTGCCACAGTGACGTGTCCTAGAACCCGGAAGTAAGTTAGCATTTTACCACTTCCGGTTCCTTCGACAAAAACCAATGCAATTTCTCCATAGGATTTTAAAAAATAGCTCGAAAATAAGGTCTGTTTGACACAAATTGAAGAGACAGATCACGTTTTGTTCAGCCGGATAATATCCACATGTCTACCCTACTTTTATAATTTTCTAATCATAAATCTAATTGATAGATTTATTATTCGAAAATTAGTCTTTCATATTAATTTGCAATATTCCTTGCGGTGGCCTAAAAAAAGCAGGGAGAATACAAGTTTCGTATTTCAATATATATATTTTCATATCATCCAATCCTAAACCTGGGTGATATTATTTTTGCCCTAAAATCGAACAAGGCAAATGGCATGCTACTCTTTCAAACTGTTCCCAGTCTTTTTCTGACCTCTGTACTCTACTTGTATACTTAATGTGTTCACTTTAACAACTCAATGCAGTGGCTGAACATGTGCAGGATTCATCCCACCCTTTGTCTCTCTCTCTGCAGGCAGCAGCCGGCGGCTCTCAGAGCGGCGAGCAGACAGACGGCGGGACGGGGAACTGGAGGGGGATGATCAGGAAGGGAGACGAGGGAGCAGCGGGAGAGAGAGCCGGGCTGCAGCACTCGTATCCATCAAGCCCTCATAAGGGATACGCTGTCAACCTGCTCGATGTGGTGGGTACTCCTCAAGTGCTTTAATGCTGGAAAGATCTGCCATGTTTAGCCAATTCATCAAAACCTTTATTTGTTCCCAGTGGAAAGTGAATTGCATACATTTGTATAACACATGGCACAAAATCACAACTCTAAGACAGTAACTTAAACCATAGTGCGAATATAAATACCTCCCTAGATGTTTTGGGGAAAATGGCAATAACAGGAGATTCTTTCTTATTTAACTGTGTGTTTTTAAGCGTGCCAGTTATTTTGATGCAGTCATCGACCAGCCAATGGAGTACATTTCTGTGATTGACCTTAAATGATTTATACCATCCGATAAAAGAGACTGTTAGACAATAATCAACAAAAGATCGATAAAACATAGTCCTGTCAATCTTAAAAAGCTTCCTGAGACAAAGAGACACTTCTGGCTTCTACATCAAGTCAGTATTCCTCTCAACCGTCAGTCTATTGTCTTTCTCCTATTGTTTAAAGCATGTGCACTCTTAGCATTGTTGTTCAAAAGAACAGTCAGAACCTTAGTTAATGCTCTACAGCCATGTATCATATGGACAAAAACTAGCCGCAGTACAAGGCTTTAAGGAAGGTGGCTACAGTATCCCTCAAGTACTGTCAATCAATAACTCCAGCCTCTCCTTCAAATATGGTCACTCCTGTCTCCAAAATGATGTGACGCCTTAAGGACCAAACGCAAGGCTTCAAAAATAGTAGTATTCCAAACACCAATGTGTGATGTGACGGTGGCAACGTGCACTTTTTTTATACACGCTATGATCCCACTTCTATTAATGCCAAACTGAAAACACATTTATTCAACCTTTTGATGTGGGAAGAAAAATCGAAATTTGTTTTTGAAATGTACTTTAATTTTAATTTCTTTAAATCCCCAGCCTGTTCCAGTTTCCAGGAAGTTGTCTGCCCGGGAGCAGAGGGACTGTGAGGTCATCGAGAGACTCATCAAGTCCTACTTCCTTATTGTGCGGAAAAACATCCAGGACAGGTACTTTTTTTTTCACCCACCATGATGCAATTCTTTACATTTTGCCGTGATTTTGCTTCTCATGTCCCTCCCCCTCGTCCTGTGTTGTTGTCTGGCCTCAGTGTACCGAAGGCGGTGATGCACTTCCTGGTGAACCATGTGAAGGACAGCCTGCAGAGTGAGCTGGTGGGTCAGTTATACAAGGCGGGCCTGCTGGACGACCTGCTGACAGAGTCCGAGGACATGGCTCAGAGACGCAACGAGTCCGCTGACATGCTCAAGGTAACGCATTCACCAAGTGTCACCAGAGACCCCAAAACAAGATCCGGTATCAGCCATTCGCTCACAGCTCATTAAAGTTTTTGTCATTGGTCTGGCATATACATTTACTTTCACTCTTCATTCAAACTCTTTTAGTTTACGTAAATCCAGATAAAAGCCATGTCCTTTTATTACAATTGTAATGTAAATGACACATATGGGGTTTTAAGCGTTTCCGGCTTATACGGGTCACTAACAAAATATTTTCTAAAGCGATTTCAATGTAACTAATCGAAAGACAAAATCCATGATCCTTGTTCCTTTCAAAATACATTTGAAAAGTTTAGGTTTCATAAGTTTAAGCTTGTCAAATAAAGTAGATATATTTCAAAGTCACTGTCTTTTTAGTGCAAAATGCTATCTTTGTATTCAACTGTTGAGCTGCAGCAAAAGAAAAGTAACAAGAAGAAGGAATTGTATTCAAAAATGTCCAAAGAGTATGTTTTTGCAAAGAAATAGTGCCTTTCATTTATCTCCCAGCACTTTTAAGCACACTTGAAGGGATGGTATAATGGCCAGTATGAACAGCATGCATTATAGGAGCTAAATATTGTAAAGTCAGTGTACCTTGATATGTTACCTAAAAGCATGTGTTTTTTATTTACAATCTTTCATTTCTGTGTCCAGGCTTTGCAGAAAGCCAGCCAGGTGATCGCAGAGATCAGAGAAACCCACATGTGGTGAGGGCGGCCGCTCTTCATCCCTCCCGGACCCTCCTCCTCCTCGCTCTCCTTGCTCCTCAGAGACGAACAACATGATAATGCACTGGTGTGGATATGTGTATATGGAAACATAGTTTAAACTTACAGTAAAGACTTGGATTTAATAAAGGGCAGTACATATCAGCGCCTCAATGTCAGCAACACACATGCTTCTGTCTTAGATTATTATATTTTTCTTATGTAACTGAACCAATAAATAAATAAATAGATCATGTAAAGCATCACCACTATGTGGAGCCCTGCTGAAGAATGTCTGCTCTTATTGTAGATCTGAATTAAAGCTGGAACTGATAAACCCATGCTGCGACATCTAGACGCTGTCTTTATCATGTCCATTCTCTATTTATTTATTGACAAAATAATGTCTACTGCTGATTGCTCAAAAGAAATGCACTTAATTTCGATTTAAAACAGTTTTAATTTAATGTAGACATTCAACTGTTCAACATCAGATCCATTTTGTCCCTTTGTTCACATGTTTCAACACGCTCTCGTACACATTTTTAGCGGTTTAGCTACTTTAAAAAGTGTTTCTAAACAATTCATGCTGCTGAAGTATTTGTATAAATGTGTTATGGTACAGTATGCTGGACTTATTCACACAGAAACAATCTGCATAGTTTGCAGGGAGGCAGCAGAGGGGATGTAATGATTTATTTATTGTTTTATGATAATTGACATGTAACCCAACACAACAGAACAATGAATACACAAATAATGGACACATCGGCCAATCACTGGTGTCTGCCTCGCCCTCCTCCGGCGGCTCCTTTACCTCAGCCGGCCGCCCAGCTTGCCCTTTCCACGACCTTTGGCACTGAAAGGATGCAGGGAGAGATTAAAGCCAAATACCAAACACTGCTATCAGTGTGATGCCACAAGTGAAGGTGATTTGATTGCAAATGAAAACACAAAACAGTGAACGGGGTGTGTTTTTGATGAGACAGTATTGATGGTTAATACAGACCTTTATATATATGAGGCTTAAAGTGTTTGTTATGCGAATGAGAATGCAAATAAAAGTAACGTTTATTTCCTTTGCAGTTTTTGGAAGAGTCCTGTTCATGATCAGATATTTCTCAATGTATGCAGTCGTGAAAAATATATGTTGTGATGAAAGTTAAGAATATAAAAATTAGATTACGATGCAGCACCTGCCAGATGTAAAGTAAAACATGAGCAAAATTAGCGAGTATGTTCATTATGTAATGGAGCATGATGGTGAGGGTTGTGTCCATTTTATATTGAGTATTTATACATGATTGTACTCTGTGACCTCTGTTCCTTCCATGCAATAAAAATAGGGTGAATGTAAAGTGTAAGGTAGTACACATTAGCACAATGGAAAGAAAGAGATGGGTCCTCCCACACACATACATTCTCCTTTCACATATATTTTCACTCTCATATTCATATATTTACACTCACACATTCATACATTTTGCTCTCATATTATCATATAGCTGCATTTGCTGCTGTAATGCCAGAAATGTCCCCATTGCGGCACAAATAAAGGCTTTCCTATTCTGATTCTGAATTGTTTTTATAAAAAGATGTTTGCAGCTTTAAATAGCCCCTTGAGGAAGGAGGGAACACAAGAAGTACATAGTAACATCACGGAGTTTGTGTACTTACCTCTGGTGAGTCTGGACGCGCCCGAGAAGCTGGTTGATCTGCAAGGAAATATAAAATAAACATACAGTATGTAACCAGACAGGTCCAGCACAGGTTGTCAACACGGACAGGAAAGCCACCCAACATGGACAGCTATCATCTGTCGTTCCCCAGCCACTTATTTATTACCTCTCTAGCACTGTTTCTCCTGATCATATTCTCCAAACTCCAGACTTTGCTGATTATTTGTCAAATATGGCGTTAAACGATGGTTGTGTTCAGATGTGTTCCGTGTTTGTTTGCCTCTTTTCTTTCTCATAGATAGAGGCCCTCATTGCCAAATCCATACGTTATTTTGTTTGTGCCCTGGATTACTTACGTCGTACTTCTGTCTTTTGAGTTTTTCACTGAGATCAAACTTCTCAGCCTCCAGTCCCATCAGCCACTGCCACATCTCGTTGGCCTTCTCCCTAAACACAAACGACCATTTTGAGCATATTTTAAATCCTTTTGTATGGAGTGAAGTAAGTTAAAACACTGCACAGTTTGGACTTACTTGAGTTTGTCCTCATTCAGATGATCAACAATTAGAGCCTTCTTGCGGTCAGCCAGGATCTTCTTCTTCTTCTCCCTCTCAGTTTGTTTCTTGCCTCCTTTTCTTGTCTCACCCTGTGTTCGTCATAAAGCAGAAATACACATAAGTCTGAAAGTAACAAAAAGGAATATTGTTTTTTAAATTCATACTTTCCAAACAGGGATCCATTTAAAAACAAAAGTTAAATTACTACTCCACTATTACTTATATCCTTTTCCTAAGTAAAAGTTGTGATAAAACATGTAAAAATCACTCCATTACGATAAAAGTCCTGCTTGCAAACAGAAACTAAAATGCAAACTGGAACTTTTTTAAATTGTGTTGGGTAAATACATCTGCAAAGTACTGTATGTACTGCCTTAATCTGTCGACTCAATTAAAGGGGACCTATCATGCAAAATGCACTTTTGTACGTCTTTTATACATGAATATGTGTCCCCGGTGTTCCAGGGAACTCACCAAGTGTCAGAAAACACAACCCTCTCTATTTTCCTCCATACCCAAATCTCTAAAAAAGGGGCTGCAATGGATCTGATAAAAACTGATCCAGATTTGAACACTGTCCTGACGTCAGGACAGTGGCGCTACGGCTATTGGGCCAACTCCACCAATCAGGAGGAGACAACCACGGCCATTGCCGTTCGAAAGCGCTGGAGACGCTGTAGTACATATGCCAGGCCTGTAGGTGGTGCTGTTCTCACTGAATCTGCCCTTGCAAAAACAGATCTAAAAAATGTCAAATTGAGCAAAATGAGGCATGGCTAAAATGCATGATCTGTTTGGTATTAATACCAAGTATAAATATGCCTTATATAGGTATGGTCCTACACTATATTATTCAAATATAGCATGATAGGTCCACTTTAAGTAAAAAGTATGTCTGAGTGAAGTAGAAGTTTAAAATATCATCAACTGGAACATGGAAGTAAAACCTCAGAATTGCAATAACATGAATAATGTAGCGTTGCAATAACATATCCCTCTACTGTTAGCCTATAAGCTGCAATATCAAAGTATTACTTCTCAAGTTTTACTTATACTATTTTAAAAATCTCAGACAGAAAGAAGCTTACATTGATGCTGCTATGGGAGGTTGATTCATTTTTAGTTTTTTTACCCTTTTAAAAGCATACATAATCATCAGTTGTTTTTAGACTATTTAAATGGGTTGTGGTCTCCTGCTAACAAATAAGATAGTAATACATATTTTGTTAGCTTAGGTACTTCTATCCGTGTAGTTTTTCAGTCAAACAAAGTAGGTTTTTTGGGGTACTTTTGCATCCCTGTTCATCATGTTTCACATTTTAACACTAGGCAATAGGAAATTGAATGACCTTCTGCCCAGCACTGTACTGCTGAGTCATGTTTGAGAGGGCCTTCTTCTTATTGGCGTCTGCATCATGCTTCTTGCGATGATCCTCCTCCTCCCTCCTCTCTTTTTCCTCCTGTATGCAGCACAGTGAGAAAGGAGGAGAAAACACTGTCACATTTTTGATGTCCTAAAGTGTGAGAATATGAAGTAATGTTCACTGAGATCATACCGCAAGTCTGGCCTGCCTCTCCTTCTCCCTCTCTGCTCTGACTCTCTGCTGCTCTGCTCTCTCAGCACGACGTTTATCCTGTGAAATGAAAATATACACTGTCATGGTGCGTTGAACAAACAGAATACAATATCTCCTCTTTGATTAAGACACTCACGATTCTGGTAACGAGGGCGACGAGATCCTCCTCCTCTTTCTTCCTCTGGACGAAGTGAGCCTCGATCAGAGACTGCAGCTCAGACAGATCCTTCTCCTGACGCTTCCTGTGGATGTCCTGCCATCACAAAACAAGTGTAATCAAAAGAAATCAGTCGATCTGATCCAAATGGATGTTTTCTATCAAAAATGAGGCATTAAATGAGATCCACTTACATCAAAATCCACCTTGTCACCATCAGGGATCTTTGGGGCAGCAATGTTTTGCATGAACCTGTGAAAGGGAAAGGTTTATAATTGTATAATCTATAATCTATTGTATAATATAAGTGTTAAGTATTGGGATTATATCCACAGACGAGCCAGACACTTACTTGGGTTTTGGCTTTGACTCATCTGAAACAAGAAAAGACAATTATAGACATTGTGAATACATTGTTAAGTGAACAGGGAGTTCATATTCAATAGGTCATTAACATTATTAACTGTTGCAAGAAAAAAGTAAAAAATAAATGAAAGTTTGCGTACCTGTTGCCTCCTCTTGTGCTAATGATAAGGAACATAAGTAATTAGTAAAACGTTTGGAAATCAAATGAGAACTTTAAAACACGGGCAGATTCAACGTTCTTACCTTCTTCCTCCCTGCAGAAGAATTGACAAAAAGAATAAGAAAATGATTAATAAACAAACTGGAAAACACAAAACAATATCAACATTAATATGATGAAAGTACAAAAATGAGTACATACAGAACCTCTTCGACTTCTTCTGTGTCAGACATTTTGATATGGATGATCTCTGCAAAATGATCCCTATTAGCCTATTTTAAGACTGGCAAATATTACAGATCATTAAACAACATAGCAGAGCATGAGATGGCATCTATGACCCAAAATATCTGTGGTCACTGTGGCAGAAGTGGAATAAGTATTCTTATCTGCGACAGAAGCGATGTCACAATAAAATACGCTGTTACTATTAAACGTCCTGCATTCAAAACAATATACTTACAGTAAGTATTAGCAGCTAAATGTACTCACGAATCAAAAACGTTGCAAGCTGTAAAATGCTGCTTTAGTTTACTTTTTTAGAAACTCATGTTTTGCATGTAAACTCATTAAGTTAAAGGTGAGGTCCATTATTTATATTCAATATAGAAATGTCCCTCTGATTGTAGTTATTAGACATATAGAGTAACCCATAATTGAACAATATCCGACTTTTATTCAAGTTAATGTACGTTTTTTCTTCCTCCTTAAGTTATTTATATTCAAATATGTAATCTATTTTGTGTCAGAGCAGTTTTCAACTTTACAGATATAGTATATCTATATATTTAAAGTATTATTTATAGATATGAAGAAGCAAAAAATACCTAAATCCAGCAAAGCACAACCCCAAATCTACTTTAGGACAGTGTTCAGTTAAACTGTCTTAGTTACTTTCCATCCAAGGTTATTACAAATATTTACGTAGTGTGGTTTAAGGTAGTTACAAATACCAATATTTGCATCAACAGAAGACATGAATGAGAAGAAATAAATGTCACCATATGAGTGAGTGGTTATGGATGAAGTTCAACCACATTGATGACATTAAATGCAAGTACATTTGGCTTCAAGATCTTAGCTGGCACAATAACTTACGAAAAACAGTTTACACACATTTCAAGATGTATGACTAAACAAGGTTTTGATTTAAGTAGCGGCACTGAAATAAGAGAGTCCTTACCTGTGACCCAGACAGAGAAAGCTCAGAGTTGACAGACTTCGGCTCCTTGAGCTTCACCAACAGGTTGAGCATCAAGGATACATAGTCCAGCCTCCTTACTCATGTGACTGCAGCACCCTATGGTGGGTGGGTCTATTGTTAGACAACCGGACATCATAATAGGACTGTGTCTCAAACACACATGCACACATGCACACACGCACGCACGCACACACACACACACACACACACACACACACACACACACACACACACACACACACACACACACACACACACACACACACACACACACACACACACACACACACACACACAACACACACACACACACACACACACACACACACACACACACACACACACACATTCTGCAGGTACATTCCCAACAAATT